GAGTTTCTATAATACAAATACTAAATGAAAAATCTTTTATGGCAATAGTGAAAGCAAAGCCTTTGATACATATATAAAATAGACAAAATTCCATTAATTTTCAACTCAGGACAGACGGTATATTTGAATTTACAGACATGCCAAATGGTAATTTTGGCTTCCAGTCTTTGAGATGTGGCTGATCTATTATGGGTGATAACAGCATATGCTACTTTCTGAGTCAGTTTCTGTTATGTCATGAGAGGCACCACTGCTAGTAATGGGAGGCATTTTTACGTTAGCTAAATTGCAGAGTGAGGTTCATAACATAACAAATAGGTGGGCTTCAAAGGTAGATTCAGTGCTTGAAATGGATGTCAAATTCAATACTGCTTAAATAAATCAACAAAAGCAAACCTGGCATGACAAATCAACATGGCATGTAGTTTGTTCAGGTTTTTTTTCTTTCTCCATGTCAAAGGGTTGTGTGCCTTGACAACTTCCTTTAGCTGGTTATGCCTGGGAGACTCAAAGGAGACATTTGGCCTTCGTGGGTCTGTGTCTGAACTTGTATGTCCTGGGGAGGTATGTAGCTGCTTGAGACGCCACTGAGCAACGATGAACAGCCAAGGAATGGCAATGTCTGAGTGCAATTTGATGGAGCAGATGTTGCATCCCGGCACTCCACAGCTGCCCCAAGGCTTTGTCTGGTGTCAGCCCTTCCCTAAATGAGTTTTCATAATGAATTTATTTGTTAATTGACACATAAAAATCTATGTTAATATAACATTAAGGACCTATCTTAAATTAACATGGCCAAGAAATTGGAGGGGAAAAAAAAAAAAACACAAACACACACACAAGAAACCCTGAACTTGAATGTCACCAACACTTATCTGCTGTTTTCCATGGGGAAGAAACTGCTGGTACAGACACACTTTACACCCCACAAAATTAAGCAGTGTTTTGTTTTGTTTTGTTTTTTTCCTCCTACTTGCTAATGAAAATAGCATTTGCATGGGAAGATCCTTTCTGATACCTGTACAGGCACAGGCAGCACCTCCAATGCTTGGTAGAGGTCTTGGCAGTTGCTCCTGACTTTGATGAGTGCAGCAGCATTTGCTTTTACCTGGTGCCCAAACCTGGAGTTCTTGTGGCACCAGACCTGAGCACAGCAGATTTGGGGCAGATTTTGGTGATCTGTCAAAACACACTTTAAATTATCAGACCACACCTTGGAGCATACAGCGTGGGTGAGCAGGATGTTGCCCTTCTAAGCATGGGGACCAAGGAGAAGGTAGGTTCAGCAGCCATCCAAACCTACATGGATGTCTCCCAATAAATGGGGCAGTAGGACTATCATCCTATCTTTGAATTAATCTTATGGCTGAATATATTTCTCCTTTACCTTTCTCTCCTCTAGTTAACACACTTCTAATCCTATCCTAAGTTTTCTTGGACACGTGCCATGAACTGTGCCTGCCACTACCCCACTGGTTCCTGTTGAAGTATCTGAGTAGCGGCATTGATGGAGGAAAAATGATTGAAGTGCTTTGAGTGCTGTGTTTGCAAAGACTGCCCACAACACGGAGGTGTTAATGCTCAGGATACACCTGTTCCTCCTTATGGACCACCTGTCTCTCTGAAAAGGTGTAGTCTGTGAGGTTAAAAGAGACAGATGTCAGCTTGCTCATACAAGTACTTCTCGCTGTTATGGATGAAACACCTATAAATACTGCATTTTGTCTGAAAGAAGAAATCTTACTCTCGAAAACAAAACAAAACCAAACAGACAAAAAACCTCAACACCCTCTTTTATTGCTAAAGTAATTTAAAATTTAATTTAATTTAAATTTTAAAATTGAAGTAATTTAAATGCTATTACGACTACATTAACAGGCTCAGTGGCAGTGTGGGGCAACTATCTGTGTGAGGTAATTAGCACCTCTGCAGAAAAATTACTTGTCTGCTAATCAGGGGCCTGCCAATAGCAAATGGTTGAATTTTTTATCATGTGCCTCCTTATGCAGCATCTCCGTGCAGCCTGACATCCCAGCTGCCCCACGTGCCTTCAGACTTTTCATCCATGCACAGTATCACACACTCCCATTCCCATGATATTTCTTCTCTCATTTGGTCTCTTCCCACACTCTGCTGCCTCCTCTCAGTCCCGTGCACCGTGGCCTCATATCTCACCAGCATCTCAGCCCTGGTCTCCAGCTCTGCATCTGAACCATTGCATGTGTGTCACAGTCACTGTTGTGCATGGGGTACTCAAGCTGTAGAGGAGCTTATTGGAGAGAGGACAGGGGAAGAAGGAAGGAGCGAAGCCTTCAAGACCCTGGTCTCCAGAGTATCATGGGTCCCCTAAAAGTCACCATCTCAGTTTCATGGTGCTGGGAATTGAAGACATTAGGTATGCCGGAGATATGTGAAGTGGAAGCAACAGTGGAGCCAGGCCAGCAATGAACCTGAAGATCGGCAGATTTAAACACAAATTTACTGCTGAAAATAAAATGAAAATGCAGATTGCAAATGCAATATTCCAAAACCTGTTTCAAATCTGGATAGACTCCAAGACCAAAAAAGAGAGGTTGATTTTTTTTTCCTTATCAGTTAGGATTGCTCTCATTCTTTCAAAACATGTCTTCCTTTATGGAAGTACTCTGAATTAAGAATTTGGCTAAAGGAATCAAGCAGAAAGCTTGAAACAGAAAGCAATGAAGTTCCAAAGATTTAAAAGGAGTTAGAGTGAAAGCAAAGAGAAAAAGGAACCTGAAAGAAAATTCATAGAGCATTTAAAATTATTAGTTTATACTGAAGTACAAACTAACTACACTGAAGTATAAACTATCTACACTGAAGTATAAACTGACAATTCCAGTACTGTGACCACTAAACTTTCTTGGATATGAAATGTCATAATATTATTTTAAAACATATTAGAAGAGGACTTTAGTAATAGAGATGTAAACACACAGCAGGTCCACAGAGGCAGAAACTCTCCCATCTGTAGACTGCCACAGATGAATTGTTGCTATAATTACTATAGCCTGTTCAGGCTTCAAATGTTTGTGATAGCAAGTCAAGTCCATTGCAATCATGAGTTTGGTTTAAAGACCATTCCCTTGAGATTATAAAACATGGCTACCAGATCACACAAAAGAATGCAGCTCTGTAATGGAATAGGTCCTCTCCTGTCCTCATGTTTCTATAATCACTTTTTCTATCACTGTGCTGGTTCAGTTCCTTCAGAAGCTGCAAGTGGTCCAAACCCAAAACCACCCCAGACAGATTACGTGTCATTCTGCAATGCTCCTGGCACTTTGTCAGTAGACTAATAGAAACCTTGTTTCCTGAACTTATGAGCAAGAAGCTTTTTTATCCATACTACCTGGGTCTACAAATGTCAGCTTTTTTGCTGGTGGCTTTCTTTACATAAACAAAGCAATTTACAGACAAGCCAAAATGTGCCAAAAACAATGTTCAACAAAATCTGACAACTATTAGTAACAATTAAGGGATCAAATTCATTTCTCTCTCAGATGTAATAAAGACAGTGTGTCTAGTTTGTGGGAGGTACTTTGTGGGATTTAGGTGAAAGGATCGGGTGCAGCTTAATCCAGCACTGTGGAGTTTTAAAAAATTCTTAAACTCTGGCTGCAGTTTTAAAGCACAATGGGCATAAAAAGCATTTACAATCACCAAGTCAGACAGGGACAGCACAGACCTTTATGACCACTTACACATCTGTTCCCTCAGTTCTTCTCAATCCTTAATCACCTGAACATATCCAGCACAAAAAGCCTTTTTATTACTGGAAGGCACATTAGGAAAAAATTAAACAGCTATCCATTTCTCTGCTTCTGCAAGTCATGCTTTCCAGAAATTCTATGGAGCCAGAGGTCTCCTGGTAGGGAAGAAGTTGCTCTCCAAGCTACCTCTCATGTCCCTGGTGAGAGCCCACTTTGGGCTTTGACACACCAGTTCTGGGAATAAAAAGAATGAGGTTACTCAGCCATCTTACTCCAGAGATGCTTTCCTTGCCATTTTGTGAGTGTAGTCAAGCACAGATGTAGAAAACAAACAACAACAACACCTTTATCATTAAGAATATTTCACTGTATATCTACTATAATTTGGTGACACTACAAGCCATTTGTATTTTGCAAACCATTGTAAAATTAAAATAAAAAAAAAAAATGTAGACGTTGTATTAATTTTGGTAGAGGTAAATGCTTTCCTAAATTACCAGGCTTGGAAAATTTAGCTACTACTTTCAAGACCAAATTTTTAAAGGGATGTCGATCTTTTTTTCTGTTGATGCCATTGCAGTTATTAAGGGAGTGGGAGGATTTACCCATAATTTCCCTTATAGTGGGGTAAGCCACAGACTTTATATATGCTATACCATCAGTATGCGCCATCTGTAGATGTAAACTACCGAGTTAAATAAGATATATTCAAATGACTGTATATGCATAGAGGCAATATTGGGAAAATTAGCCCAAGATTTCTGTATTCTTTATATAGGTAAAAGCATCTGTTAGACGCCATACTCCCCTAAGAATTGTGAGGAAGCCAAACTTCTGAATATAATACAATTTCTCTTTTCTCATTATTAAGATCTAATATATTTTGAGGTTGGGGAAAGAAAAATATCTCATCCCAGATTGGTTAGACCAAAATGTTAAAAAAAAAAAAAAAAAAAAAAAAAAAAGCTGCTAAGTATTGAAATAATGAGGGCATCTTCCTGCTGCCACATGTAAATTGTCTCATATTCCAATTTATTTCTGTATAAATTTATTGTTGTGTATGCTAATACACAAAATTGAAATAAGAAAAAAAAATGCATCAAAAAACATATGGAAACATGCAGATTATGTGATCTTTACTAAAAATCCATCTTAATGATGAAAGCACCATTTAGCATCCACACTGGAAGTGCACTTGTTCATTTATTTATGAGACGCTACTTTCTGTAGACAAAGAAAGTATCTTCCAAAAATAGGAGTGCCATATTTTCAAGGCATACTGTGTATTTTATTTTTGTAACTAGTAAATGTCAAACAGTATTCATACACAGTATTGACGCATTAATGTTTTCATTCAACAGTGAAGATACCTTTCCTTGTTACATTATATATTTATGGCACACAGAGCTGTCAAATAAATTATGTCAAAGCAGCTGAAGTCAGACCTTGTGACACTTGAATCATAGAATCAGGGCAAATAACCTTTAAAAAGAAAGACATATGATGAGAATTAGAACCATTTAATTTGCATAAATATAATGTTAACAGTCTTTTCCTTATTACACGTTTTATGCCTAATTTATAATTGTCACTATGTTCACTTCTTAACATCAGTTTGCACTCTATTTTTTTTCCTCATTGCTTGCTTTGTTTTGGAACGTGTGAAACACAAATTCTGTAAGAAGCATATGATCAGATCCCCATTTTAGCATATTCTGATTAGCACATCTTAAATTTAATGGGAAAACTCTTCATTCACGTCAAGTAACATCTAACATTTAGAATTAATTCCTAAAAATAGCTAAGAAATCCTAAACACATCAAACAAATACCAAATCTCTAAAAATGTTGAGCAACTCTTGAAAATAATATTACATTAATGTTTTCCTATGTAGTGCAGAATGCACCGAAATGTGCAATATTGAAACATGGATCTCTACAACTCACATGTTCCATATGCTTTGAGTTTAGGGGTGTAAAACCTGTACATCTGAGGACACAGATAGGAATCAAAATGAATGGCCAGATTTTCTGAATTGTTTACTGCCTGGAGCCCCTGTTGGTTTCATTAGGTGAAACCTCGCAGAATGGCACGTTAGGTGAGGAGATGCTTCCTCGAGCCTCTGCTGTGAGGAGTGGAATCTCTCTTGCCTTCAGAAACCAACAGGAACCAGGGGAGCTCAGCACTTTGCAAGACTGGACTCTTCTTGCTACCAACACACAGCCTTACACATGCAAGCACAAGTAATAAAACTTTGCATTACTCTGAAAAGTCCCTATGTCTATTCAGGTAAATCAGGCTGGAAGGTACAAAGATGCATGGCTGCCTCAAGGGGACAGAATAACAAAGCCCCCTTATTCTTTCTGTCTGCAATTCATCTCAGTTGTGAGAGTGATACCAGGGCATTTAATAGCACATGGGCTTTGTGCAGCCCCTTTGCTACAGGGTGGGTTTGGTTCACTTCGCCTTCCTGCTCCAGAAGAATATGGTGCAGCTAACAGGAGGTCTGGGGATAAGTTGCTGCAGACCTCAGCATAAGTTACAGCCTAATGCTTCCTGTGAGACAGAGCCAGTGGACAGTATATACAGAAAAGCATCAAGGAACAGGTTAAAACTGATATTGAACTCCAAAACTAAAAGGTTTAGGGTGTTTCCTTGAATCTTCACCAGATAATCAGGCAGTTGTTTGCCAGATAACCATGCAAACACACAATCAGCAGAGATTTGTAGAGAGTCATGCAGATGAGACACTCAGCATCTCACAGGCCACAAGCAGAGAGATCAATGATAATTCCCTGGCAGTCAGTCACTGCTTTATGAAGTCTGACAGCATCTGGTCACCTAAAGGCAGGCAAAAATCACCAGTTTTCATAAATGTCAATAATTTGGTGGTCCAAAAAAAAAAAAAAAAAAAAAAAAAGAGAGAGAGGGAGAGAAAAGAAACATCAGCACTGAAGTAATTTGCCTTCCTAGGTCACTCATAGAATAAAAAAATAAAAAGACTCTTTCTCATCCAGTAACCACTGCTCTGTAAAGCAGTGGTCTGGCAAAGCAGATATTCAGTGCATATATTCAGTGCAGATATTTTAGAAGCAATTGAAAGGGAAGCTACCTTCATGGACTCCTCAAATGCTCTGTTCTTCTGAGAAAAAACTGTCATTAGTGGTGCTACTTGCCAGAAAGGGAAGTTAATTAACAATTTATATGTTCAGAAATAAGAGGAAATTTAGGTTAATTATACAAAGTAAAATATATTACAGGAATATTACAAGTATCCCAAGCCCCAGTGCTGGAAGATTAGAAAAGTCAGAGTCATAAGGTAAGAAATGTATTTCTTCCTTGATTCTACCCTGAGAGACAATTAAGCAGTAATCACAGCATTAAGACAATTTGAATTTGTAGTCTTACACAGATGAAACACATTTGTAAGTGATATTGTGTCACAGGAAGGTCTTTGACCTAATGGGAGATAAATGTCCATCTCAAAACAGCCATTTAGCTGTAGCAATGTTATTTCTATTGAACACAGTGAAAAGTGGAAGATATTTTGATTAGCACTACAAATTTCTTAATTTGATGCAGAGAGCTTCATCAGGCACTAACATTACAAATAATTTTAACAGCATCTGTGTTGTTTCATTAACAAGATCATTCGGAACAAAACTGAAGGTCTCATGGTCGATGCTATCTTTGCTAAAGACCACAGTTTAACAATTTCATTAACCAACATATCCACAAATCTTCAGAAAATACATTTAGCCATCAAAGAATAAATAATGAACTTAATAGAAAAGATAACTTTTATTCATTTATTCAGCTTGCAGTTAAGTAGAGATCTCCATTCAGCTGTGACATACAGTTGATTCTTCTACAATTAAAGCACAATGTAAACAGTTTCTAAAGTGTTCATAAATTACTAAAACTGTCTGAGGAAATTAATAACCAAATGTTATAGCCTGTTACTATGTCCAAGGATGTAATGAGTCATTTGCAATCAACTACAGCATCTGACACAAATGCACTTGGCACAATGAACAGAACTTACTTCTGTGTATAACAAGCTTCTTACAGTTACTAATCAGCATTTTGCATAGTATTTTTGAAACGTTATCTTAGTAGAACACATAAAGAATGCTTCTGCTCGTCTGTGGCACAATGTGTGAAATAACCCTAATAGTCACCTATGACTGAAAAGGTAAAAGAACACAGGGCTCTCTCCCATTGTCTCCTAGTAATGTGGAATGACCAAGGACAGAAGAAAGGCTTATATTTGCCTTAACAAAAATATGCAAGATGTGAAAATCACTCCGTGAGCTGCCTCATCTATGTCTGGTAGCTGCTTTGGGTGCAGAGAGCGGTGTCCAGACAAACATACAAACATAACTGCTGCTGAAAAGAGGATGCTTAGCATTAGATTTTGGCTATGCACTCCAGCTTCTCCCTTATGCACTTCACCCTTATGCTTCTCTCCTCTCTGTAGTGCTAAGATAGCCATTACAGCCATGCCATATTCATTTACATTTTAGCTTCCATAGTTTAAGGTCAGTGAGGTAATTACATACTCCTCATCCATTCTAATTTTTTTTTTCTCCTCAAATTTTACATTTTACAGCTTGTGTACATATATGGCAAAAAAGACAAGGAAAAAATCTTCACATATGTTGCCAAATAATATGATACTGATGTGATAGCACAATCTAATATGATTGATGGCAATCCATAATTGCAATCCAAACGTGTGAATTCAACCTGTGAATTCTTCCCCCACCCCACATTTGTGTGCTCACATAAGCTGGCATTTGGGCTGAAAATTGACACATGCCTTCTGTGTCTCTCTAGGGTCACCTCCCAGCTGCCACAGCTGAAGATTCCAGCCCTGATCAAATTCCAGTAGCAATTCAGAAATGCAGACTATGCTGGAAACAAGAAAAAGTTTTGGAAAAATGTTACCAATTTTTCCTCTTCAATCTGAGCTAAAGAATACCTGTGACACTGAAAATATAGCAAACCATTATAATAACTCATGACATCTACTAGAAGAAGAGACAATCCAGTGCACTTAGACAATATCCATCTGCCTTCTTTCAATACACTGTGCTCTCACTGACCTTGGCAGGCATTAAAAAGCATATAATAACCAAATATGAAAAATGCAAGGATATGTTAGCTGTGATATGATGCTGTTATTGCAAATAGCTATCTTGAACAGCAAAAAGGATAAGTAAAGCTATTAGAGTATGCATTGGTATATGGCTTCCTGCGTATACTGTATCAATTATAACACACTGCTTTCAAGAATTCATAATGTCTCCTTATTCCATGCACAAAACTACAGATGCGTATTACAACTAATGTTATAATAAAAGATATCTAAAAGATAGTAAACAGCCAATACCCCACATCTGCTGTCTAATAATTTGTGTCTAAATGTGTATAAAAATATTATATAAAACCATTATAGAACAATTGTATGAACATTCTCTGAGTGATGGCAGCTAAAGATATTTTTTTTTCTGAATGGCAGATCTGTCATTACTGAATGTTGTAAATATGTATGGCATACAAAGTAGCATATATGAGAGATATGAGAGCTCCTGGAGAAAAAAAAATGCTAAGGAGAAACCGTGGTATAGTTCATTCTGAATATGAGCTGATTGGACTAGCCACATTTGATGGGTCGGCATCACACTTCACTCTGTTCACTGAACTTGCTGTAATTCTAAATTGTGAGAAACAGAAGGAAAAAAAAAAAAAAAGTATTAGAATGTTTTCCTAGAATATCATGTAAAAGTAGTGGATGAAAGACTGATGTGAGGGGATCAGAAATGTAAATCCAAACAAATCACTTTCCATAAATCTCCACCTCTTTCCACTCTGTTCTTTTCTATTCTATCCTGCCATTTTTTCTTCACTCAAAATTCCTGCTGACCTTAGCATCTTAAAAAGTCATGTGAAGTGTAGACACAGTTACAACGTGGTGCTGCTATTGCGGTCACCCTTCCTTTTTACTCCTGTCCATATTATCTTATCTTCAGTTGTTAAAGGCAAGGAACACATCAAGAAACCAACTCACATACATGTATTTTGAAAGCTCTGAAGAGGCATTGGCAGCATACATACACTGTCCATAATAATTATGTTCAAAATGTGAGACTGTGTGCAAGCTTTTCAGACTGCTCCACTAAACTATTATTCAGAGTTTTGACTTGCTTAGTAGAAGCACTTGCTTCCAGTAGAAGCACATTACCAGTTCCTGGAAAAATGGACTTCTGAGCTCCTTTTTACTTGGACATTTATCCTGGTCTTTCCACATCCCATTACCATAAAATGGGTATGCTAGCTATCTTGCAAGAATGTTAGGAACATTAATTGGTGTCTATAAAGAACATAGATCTTTTATAACACAACAATCATGCTAATTCTTGTAATCAGACCCAGGCAAAATATACAATAGCCATCCCCATTATTTTTGCCCTGCAGTTACCATTGCAGTAAATTATTTTTGCAGAGTAACAAAGAAAAATGTTGAAAAGCACCAAAGAGAACATACTTTTTCTAGTCAATCCACCAGAACAACAGAGTCAACTCGCCTTATCTGGGTAAATCAATGGAAAGTGTATTTTGTCCATAGGCAGCTCTAATTAAATTAGTAAAATGTGCCAGATCACAGTAAAGGGGAGAAAGAGAAAACAGAAACCACAGACCATGATTAGTTTAATGTCTCTTGGAGAGGGCTCTGAACTGAGCTCTAGCCATGTTTGGAATCATAAATACAAGCATGGGAAAGCACACTGCTTATAATGCATGCTCAGTTACACTGGGATTACAATGGAAAAGGCTTATACAGTTTACAAGGAAAGCCCAGGTTTATAGCCTTTTAACAAGGAATGGAAGAATTATTATTGTGCAAATAAATACATGTTTAAGCAAATGCCTGTTCAAGCCTCTAGGCTCAATTTGTGATCAAATCCTTCTATCTCCTCCCTCTAGCTCTGCCCTCCACCTCATACATGTCCTCTTCCCTCTTTCCACCAGTGAGCCAACACATTACACTGCAGGGCCGGACAGAGGTGAGCTTTTTAGCTCTGAACAAATTTGCCAGGGATCCAGAAGTGTTTTGGTCAGAACAGCTTGGAACCCCAACTTGAATTTATCTGCCTTCTCTGTTACTTAGCACGTATGCATCTCAGAGTCATGCTAACCAGAGGCATGCTGTTTAAGCAATGCAGACTGAGGAACAGAGTATAGTTTTAGTAAATCACAGCTGAGTACTAGGTGATTTCCCTCACCGAGAGGTTCTGTTAGGTATTTTGAGATGACATTATGCTTTCCAGTGGACCATGCACCCAGGTTAATGCACCTGAACATCATGCCTCTGGATCCAGCATAGAAGACATAGAAGTTATTGCAAAAGGAGAGGAAGAGAATGCAAGCAGGGAAAATGTGATAGCTGCAGCCCCAGAGGCTGAGGACTGGTTGCAGAGAATACAGATACAGATAAAAGATTTCTGCACAAAACATTCACTGGATAAATGAGATTTCCCCAGACTGTCAAAGTGCAGTGAGCATCCAAGAAGCCCCTCCAGACTTTATCTACCCCTGCTATAAGTCTTACCCTGTGAATCTGAATGGCATCGATTGCTGAAGAAACAGATTCAAAGAAGACAGGGTATTCAGATTCAAGATTTCCACCGTACTGCATTGCTTTTATCAAGGAAGCTGTAATAAAACAAACATATGAGCACTGATAAGGTAGTGAGGATATATAAACTGTCATGTTAAAAAATTTGCTGTAAGCTGATACTTGCCTTTGCAGTGTGCTAGCAACACATCAATGTGTCTGTTTTTACAATCCATGTAAATCTATATGTGTGAAAACATGAAATTAAAAAGAAGAAAAAAAGAAGAAAAAAGAAAGAAAAAAAAAAAAAAGAACTGTTTAAAATACCAACAGAGAATAAAATACACACACACACACACAAAAGAATGTATTCAAAGCGGGCAGAGCATGAAGTGCTGCTGTTCAAGCTATGCTGACAGCAGCCACCAGAGAGAGCCCCTCTATAACACAAAGGAGGCAACCCCACACTGAACAGGAAAGCATCATTTCCTCCCCCCTCCACAAAGTACCCTACAGTTCTACTGGTAATAAAACTAAAATGATTAATTATACAGCATTTATAATTATATTTGTTAGATTTGTTTTTCCAGTATGCCTTTTTCAACAAGTTTCTGCATCTCCTTTCTGTACGCTTACCAACCAGTCCAGAAAGACAGAAATTTGACCTATGAAACTTTGAAACTTCCAGCAGTCTATCAGAAAATTGCCACAGCCATCATGCTACATTCTGCAGTAAGTTGTTCCTTATCCTTTCTTTGAAAATATGCAACTTCACAGAGACTAGGTATCCAATAAGCTAAAAAGTAACAAAAAGTGAAAGAGGAAGCATCCAAAGCAGTCCCTATTAAAAATAAATAAATAAATAAATAAATAAAAGCATTTTTTTTACCACGTCAGAATAACTAATTTTAAACAGAAACCAAAAGCCTGCTTCAGACTAAAAATCCCTTTAACTCTAGCAGCACTGACGATATTTATGAAAGGAGTGTAACATGGAAGAACTGCATTTCTTCTTTGGGTAACTCTGTTCTGGACCTGTCTTTCAGTTAGAGGTTGCAACCCCAAACTGTATCTCAAAGCCCAGGATGGAGTGGTGTCCCATAAATTTGAGATCTCAAAGCCCTTTTGGAAATCAGTTTCACAAATTATATATATATATATATATATATATATTAACCTACTAAGCTTAATGAATGCCTTTATTTTGAGGGAGGATGTAATAAAGAATAACTTCCATTCACCTTACTTAATTATCCCAGTTTTCCTTTTGACTATGTACACACCTAGATATGTTGTTTTTTTTGTTTGTTTGTTTGTTTGTTTTACTTTGTTTTTTAATTTAGCACTTAATTATTCACTTCAGTAAACTGAGAAAATAGTTAGGATAAGAAAAGGCCTGGGCTGCGACCCAAGTTATATAACTGACATAACTGACATGAGAGGGATGAATAAGACCTAAATCAGCTTAAAATATAGAAAGGCATAAAAATGAGTGCTTTCAGAAACTCATTTCCATTAAATATGAATACTTGCGTTTGCACTGAATGTCACTTAAAATATTTAGAATTACTAGTATACAATTTTATATAAACATAATGCAGTTCAGTAACAAAACTCTGCTCATCTTTTCCATAAGTGACCATGTTTATTCACTAATCTCAGTGATGTGACTAGTAACTGGTCCCAATAACTTGTGTGTGTAATCATATATTTCTATGTACAGAATGTATCTGGTGTTATAAATACCTGAAGCAACATGGAGGCTCCAGTGTAGTCAAACAAACTCAGTCCACTGCAATCCAATATCAAAACACGTCGCTCACTCTGAGATGGCTGCAGTGACTCACCTGCACATTTGATATAGGAGAAAGCTTTAATTACCGAGTAGTCAAGAAATCTGTATAACAACAGAACAAAATAAGCCCAAAATATCACAGTAAAATTTGTCTATTGTTTACTGAGACACGTATTAAGCAAATAGCACATTTTAGAAGTACAGATAAATGAAGGGGCATCAGAGCAACGGGGTGAAGTCAACAGGCAGAACATATTAGTGAGATGTATTAGACAGAAATAGTCTCTCCTGGACAAAAAAAAAAAAAAGTTCTTCAGATTTGAAATTCTGCATGATTCTGGCTTGTTTGGGAAAGTTCACTTAGGATTCACAGAGAAAATATACCTCAAATTCTTAAATTACCCACATACTAAATGTGTCCTGAACTAGCATGCAGATGATTCCTGGCTTTCATAACGGGAAAACAAGAAAACAATGTACATCTTATTTACATAACATTTACATGTTATTTGTCTGCGGACAAATAACAGGTTTAATATTAGTTATCACGAAATATAAAATTAAAAAAAAAAAAAGATGAATGAAAGGAATTATGAACGTAAAGATAGGTTAATTGAAATGGTTTTGACACAGCAGAGGAAAAGATTTTAAAATCTTGAGAGGACTTTGAATTTTCTTGTTGTGTAGATTTATAATGGTGCTAATTCCTTTCTGACAGAAGTCTGAGTCTGTTGGACTTGCACCTCCAGAGGTTTACTTTCTTTGTCCTGTCCAATGTACATTAATAAACACATTGCAAACAAAATTAAGGAATTTCAAAGAAAGTCTGCCTGGCATTACTGCAGTGGAAAACCAGGAAGGATTTATGAGATCTGCGGGTCTGCTTACTGTAATCAATTCTACAAAACTCCGTCTCCAAACCAGAAGAACTTACTCTTCCCCTGTTACTTACTCACCCCCAAAAACATGCACATTTATATCTGCAGGTTCCAACAAATTTTACCTTAAAAAATGGCCTGAGGTTACTTTTCCCTTTTGATTGTTATTCTGCTTAAATAAAAGTTAAAAGTCTGACAGTTCAAAACCAGATTTGGAATAAATATAATTACAGGTAACTTGCTTCTGTGTAACAGATGCAATAATGAAGAAATTGGAAGGAAGGAAATAAATAGAGAAGGAAGGAGGGAATTGATTTAACTTACAAATGTTACATTCAAGCACAGAAGTTGAACTCATTTTACACCTGAAGTGTGCTTAGCTGATGTGTTGCACAAGCACACCATGAAACCCTACTATTACCATACTGAATTCCCTTCCTTGACAAACATCGTTAAGGAACCACACACACACATGTGCATATGCATATATGGAGAGAGGCAATGGTGGACTGGAGCTCGCATTACCTTCCCAAAAGCTGGCATCCTCCAGTGGAGGCTGCCTGACTTCAGGATGGGGGGATGGGGTCGTACAGACCTGCTGCCTCTGAACCACTGGGCAAGGCAATAGAAACTAATTAACTTGTTGCTGATATAGACAATGTCAAATCAGTATTTCCCAAAAGCTGAAAGTAAAGATTTTGATGAAGATGCTGCTGTGCCCTCTAGGATGACTGATGTAAGGACAAGAATTATGTCTTCCTGCTTGCCTCCTTTCTAAAAATGTAGGACCCATGCTGCTTTTTTAGTGATTTTTTTTCTCTCTTCCTCTCCAGTTTTTATTTTAAAGCTTCCACAAAGAGTCACTGTACTCTGATTAGTACAAAGAACAACAACATTTAAGTCCTCAAGGCTTAAAAAAAGCAATCAGAAGAGAGGTCCAGTGCTGTCTGTCATTTCTGTATTGTAAGATACCAGTTCATCCAATGAAACCACACTTCAATGAAACCTGAAATGTGTACTGACAAGACCTTCCAAAGATCTCCCCACAAACACAATGCTGTGTGCTCATTTACCGTTTTACAGTATAGCACTGTATAGTCTCAATAGCCATTATCGTTATGTTGCTGTGCTACAGCAAAACATTCTATCAACCCCAAGTAAAGTAAACACAGTAAAAACATAAAAATGTCATGAGCCTAGTTAATAAGCATAAACTATCAGACAACAGCCCCCAAATCAGATTCTCTACTGTGGTCTTAATGCTTATAAGTGTTTTAAATAAACACAATATTTGAATTCCATCCATGATGAAGTCATCTGTATAAAGTATCTTCTGCAAAAGGTTCTACCAGCTATCCCATGGGAATGTACATGCTCTGGTTTGATTTAAATGCTATAAAATGTGGGAAGAGTAGAATTATCCAGCTTAATCCTTAATTAAAAGCAAACCCTTAGTTGTTTTCTTTTTTTCTTTATTCTGTGTTGTACAGTTTTACTATGCTATATTGGTGGCCACAGTGTCACTGATAACTCAGATGACATTTATGAGTTTTTCTGTTCAATGCCTTTAAAGACCACAAAGACTTCACATAGACCTAATCCCATCCTATTTTTAGTTTTGCATATTAATGTTCAAGTCCCACAATGAGCTCAAAACCAAAACCAACCAACCAACTAACAAACAAACAAAAAAAAAAACGCACAAGAAAACAAGAACACAGCTTAGCAAAACAGCTTATTAGGCCTTTGGCTGAAGACCAATAAAGGCGGCAAAGCTGGAAGTGATCCCCCCCCACGCACACACACTAGGTACCCATATCAGTATGCATAGATTGATTTGTGTGAAATAACCAGAGACTCCTGCAGAAAAAAATATTTTCATTGGTTTCGCACTTTTGAAATCTTATAAACTCAGTCAAGAACAGAATAAAAACAGGATCTGCTAGGCCAAGGTTAACAGTTTAATAATTTTTAGTACTCATGCTTCAGTGAAGGTGTGATCTATCTGAAATATTAGTTTCCAGACAATTTGAGTTCACCTATAAATAAATAGAAAAACCTGGAGCCATTTTGCACACTTACATCCATCTTGGTTTTAATATAATTTATAGAAAATAAACTCACCATGACAACTTCCATTGGAAAATGAACAGAGTAATGTGTTCTGCTCACACTGAAATAAAAGCAAAGAATGATTAGCATACCAAGGAAAACTAATCCAATGCAGAGTAACCAGAGAAAATCAATGCAATGCACAAGAATTCTTTTTTTCAATAGCAAAATTAACTCATTCTCTCCAAAAACCATATTGTATGCAACAGTCTATTGGATACGTTATAACTGCTGAGCAAGCCTTTAATTATTTTTTAATGTCATATAAAACTGTAACCTCACACCTCGCTTTTTTTTTTTTCCTTCAGATGACTCAACCTCTTTGATATTTGTAGCCATTATAAAGCATATTATAAAAATGATGCTCTTGGGAAAGCAGGGGTTAAGAAGTAATAGAAAGATGAGAAAGATGTTCTTGAAAAGATAAATTCAAGTTAGAAAACTTGTAAGATTAACTTCTACTTGATGCAATCTCATCTAAGATTTTAGTGAGAATAGTTCTGACGTAAATTTGTAATGATTTCAATATGAATGTTAAGTTGTCAGTAGACATGTTAAAAACAGAATACAGCATGGAAACAAAATCCAAAGTGCAACTCTTTTTCATTTCCATTATGTTCCATAGAAAGACCATTATTTCACACACACACACAAACAAACAAAAAACTATGCACAGTATTTCAGTCAGCTGTACTGCCAAGTAACTTCCAGAATAGACAAAGGATAACATCTCACTCCTAAGTAACTTATAAATTAACTTAGTAATTAACTTATTAATTCATTACACTTATTAAATTAACTCATAAATTAATTCCATGAAAATCCTAAGTAATTTCTCTCAGTTTGGGAGTTTGTTATCTTGGTAATCCAAATTGGTTAAACTAGAAGAGCTAAGGAAAAAAAGCAGCACAATATCTGAGCTGGATTTCTGAATAACAAGAAGGCACCCATCAGAGTAGGAACGGGTAGTGCAGATCTTTAGCAAGAGACAGCAGAGGTGGTAGACAAATATTACTGTTTTAACAAAACATCGAGGAAGTATCTATGATTTTCCCAGTGCAGTTCACCAAACCAGATGAGATTGCCTACACTTTATATTTTATTGGAATGTCTTTATTGTAATGATAGAAAAATAATACATTTTCCCCTCTTTCTGGGAACATTGTAGGAATTTTTTGGTAGCTATGTGCAAATAAACTTTAAAAATACAGTCCTTACTGGGACATTTTCCAAAAACAAGTTCTACAAAATTTTTGTGCTATTTATTTCTCCAATACAATCAGTGCAGAAAATGAAAAAGAAACACCACCCCAAGGGAAAACTTCAAGCAGTTTGTACCTTCTTCCTATATCTATTAAAATTATTCATAGAATCAGAAATGAAGCATCTGTCTGCCACGGAGTCATCTCCAGAGGGAAGAAAAAAAGAAAAAAAATAATCAAACAAACAATAACAAAAAATGACACACAACTTTATTCAAGTAGAATTTTAGCTACTCATTGCCTTTTCAAAGTCACAACCTCACATTAACTGAGGATATGTAATGGTTCCCAGAAATTTTGAAGAGCTTTGGCTAAGTGTTTTAATGTCTTTTACAGGACCACATATAGAGAGGTAGGAAAGATATTCTTTTCAAGTAATTATAATAAAAAATGCAAAGAAAACAATCACGCTCTTCAACACTGTCACCATGATTACTGAAGCATGTAGCACATCTTACCTTGTTTACATCTTCACATGCCTGGCTGCTCGTGCTATCCTTCTGGATTATTTTTGTAAGGTCTGCATGAAATTTCCTGGCATTCAGAAAGACTAATGGGTTGTTGACTGAAACTATCTTTACCTGTTTTAATGATTGCTGTGAAATGAAATAAACAAAATGCTGAGACATTAATCTTGTTTTTACAAATTAAAATAATAATAACACCATCAGTAATTTCTTAAAAGTATTGAAAATTCCTGTAAATCAATCTAGAAGGAACTTTGATCAGCTTCATACATGACTGAAGTAAAAGAGCAATCTGTAACGAAAATGATCTTTAATTTAATTTAATTTAAATTAATTTTTAATTTAACTTTTTTTTTTTTTAATTATCCTTAAACAAAAGCAAAATCATTAATTCCAATGCACAATACTAAGAACTATCACCTGGCAAATAGTAGGAGCACTGTTTCAGTTGGTGTGATTTCCATACACAAGCAAGACAAGGTCTGCAGACTGGGAAAATCTTCTACTAGATAAGTATTATATGTATTGTAAAAAGTAAATGAGTTTTTGGAGCATACAATGTGGCTGGTTTAAGGAAACAGTCATAATGCTAATCTTGGTCATCTGAAGATGACTGTAGTACAATAGGGATATTTTTTCATGGAAATGAAAAAAGCCACCACTGACTTCATTACAAGAGGAAATTCCCACCAGTCCCACTTCCCAGGTTCTCCTACCACCCTGAGCTGAAGATAAAGCAGAAAATCATTTAACTACAGCCTGCAGCAGAAGCTCCTGCCCTGGAAGAAATCTTTCTGTAGCCACTCTTACTTCACTAAGCCCTTCAGCAAAAGCAAATTCCTGATGGTTCCACTTGAACTGACTAGATCCAGACTAAGCCTGAGGCACAGATTTAAAATTTTGCTATCATTTATCTACAACCAATATAATCAATAATCTGCACAAGAACCATCATCTGCCCTGGATCCTGTCTGCATTTTATCAAAAAAAGTTTCATCCAAACTTCACACTGCAAAAAGCCAGTCTCAATATGCATATATGCATATATAAATATATTAGATATCAACATTAGCAGCTCAGTTGACACACACGTTTTCTAGGTAGAATTAACCTAATTCTACTGATGTCTTCACTTTCCACAGGTTATAAACCAACTGTGTGTCTCTCTTCTTTGGGAAAGAGCCCCATTCTTGCTGTTTCCCCAGCAAATGTCCCATCTATGTGATGGATACCAACAACTTGTTCTCTATCACCATCTGAGACAGACCTGACTCAGTGTGGAGCAATTGCTCTCAGCTGCTTTGATGCCTGCTGCTTGTATTTAAGACTTGAAGAAAACTCTGCTGGCCATACCAGTCTTTTACTTTTCCAGTTGTACTATTTGATCTAGTAAAAGATACTACACTTGCATGTTCTTTATCTGTATTCAAATAAATAACTGTATTCTTTTATGCCTCTAGTGCTGTAAAGCAGGAATAAGCAGGATCATATTTTCAGTAGCATTTTCTACTCAACAGGCACGAAACTAGAGATCTTTAAATATCCATAACAACACTGCTAATAAGCTCGAGTTGGCAAAAACACAATAGGATTAATTTGCCTTTCAGGTATGTCTTTCATGGAGGCTGGATCTCTGGATTACATATTGAACTTCAGAGCATTTTGATGAGAACAGATGAGAAAAATAGAGGATCACTGAATCCACAACTGAACATTGCACAGCAACAATCCTATTTATTTTCATTACTGATTTTTTATGCCAAAATAAAATATATTATTTGTGCAAGTATCAGCTCTCAGAAATGAACTATTCATGACAATGGGTAACAGGAAGTAATACAAACAAACAACTAAACTTTGAGAATTTGTAAGAGTATATAAACTCCAAAAGCCTCTATTCTTTCTCATGAAAGTCAAAGACATGCAAAGTTACTTAACTAGGTTGTATTCAAACACAAGTAAGTGGAGCTGACAGAGAGACAACTTCTGTAGAAGTTCAAAGAATCATGGGATTGCATTGAAGATACAGTTTTCCCAACAGACCTTAAGCAAAACAGGACTGGAAATCTTTACCACAAACCACACAAACGACCTCCTTACTGTAGAATTCTGAGAACCAGACAAACTCTCAGACACCACTGCAGCAGACATCATACAGGCTAATGAAACATTTCAGACATCCAGAACTGAGGCAATGAACCCCAGAAAATGTATAGTGACTTAGTACAATTACCTGTGAATGTGATCATCATATCACCAACATAGTTCAGTACATCAAGTGGTAAAGCCTAACCAGTACTTAAAATGGGTAAGAGAATATATGAGAAATAAATTAATTAAACAAAACCTCTTAAATAGGGGTAAAACAGAGGTCAATACATGGCTGAATGTAGAAATACTGCAAAGATTCCCTTAAAAACTATTCCATACATGGCTTAGCATGGAGACAAGTGGGCACTTCAGTGACATACTGGCAAAGTAGAAGATGAAAACAAAGACAAAATAAGGCAGATGTTCAGAGATCAAAGCATGTGATCATCAATGAGCTACTATGAGGTGAAAGACTTGAAAGTCTCAAATCATAAGGCCAAATAAAGCTGATGGAAGACTTAGGTATAACCTTATGTCTGGGATGGAGAAGCCAGATTTGGCTATTAGTCCTGGTTGTAGTTTAGTTCTAACTCCTTTCTCAATAAAAACTCTTCTGAGAGAAAATAACTTATTTTTGTCTGTCCCTGCCCAGAAAGAAAAAAAAAAAATCATCTCAGGAGGCATTTTTACTTTGTCACTTAGAAGGATGTTGCCAATTGCCCTGCGCATATGGCACAGCTCTCTCTACACTTGGGTAAGAATTCAGTTTAGTGAATGCCTTTGGTACAACGTGTTTCAAACAAGCTTCTAAACGCCCTTTTAATTTTTTCCACATCAAAGTGTCTTTTCTCCTGTTGATGAAATAATCCCTATAAATCCACAGACCTTAATGGTGGGGTAGATCATTAAGCTTGCATATTTTCATGTTTAAAAGTCTTGTTGCTTATGTCTACGCTGTTATTTACCAGTGGAACTTGGATTACCCTAACATTCATACATTAAAAATTACCCCAAATTACACAGTGACTCCATAAATTAAATTAAAAGCATTTTTTATAAATCTTAAAAATATTTTCCTTTTTTTTTTCCTGTATAATAATCTCTTGAGCAATTTGCTTTCTTAACAAAATGTTATTTTCCCCAGTGTCTGTAGACAGTGCTTTGTTATTACATGGTTACTGGCACTAATCTTAATCATTTAGAATAAAAAGATAGGGAGCAGTTAGCTTAAAAATGATGCATAGGGATTTGTACAAATATTGTGTTAACTGACACACACACACATAAAAAAAAAAAAAGCAGGCAAGTCAAATGTTGGTTACCCATCTCTGTCAAATTTACTCCACCAATTTTCTTAAGAATGAAAAGTTATAATAACAATTGACAAGTGGGCCAGCCTCAACAATAGTGTTTTTACATTTTAGAGTCCTCCCCATTCTCATGTGCCTCTCACATTCCAGCATTGTTCAGCATTCCAAAACAGTAAACCCACCCAAACCAAATTCAGATTTTGAGCCTAAGATAGCTCTGATGGAAAACATTTGCCAAACACAAATATAAATGAGTAAAACACAAACAAACAAACAAAAAAAAGGAAAATAAAAAGATAACTTACACAATTATCTTCTGTTTTGTATTTATATTCCACTTCTTTCATATTTTTCAAATTTAGTGTCCTTGCTCTGTAACCAACATAAACAGAAAATCTGTGAGGCAAACAATAAGAGTCTTGAACAGAAACAGAAAGTGAAACACATCAAAATTACAGCATGCAAGTTTAAAGTTATGACAATGCAATCCATATATACAATTGTGCATATAAAGCTTATTAATCGTAATCATAATGAAGTTAAGAGTAAAAGGCAAATTTTAGAATTATAGAATATCAGTATGAAAATTTAATAATGTTATATATTTATTCAAATATTATTAATAAAATGTTTATATTAAATTTCATTACTGACTTATATCTGGCCAGAGAGCTAGTCTTATATCAATATATGTAATATATAAGCTACAACTTCAAATGTACAAAGATTTAATTAACATTTTTTACCTACAAAATCATATTGTAAGGAAAGGAAACAAAGATACTCAATCGAAATGAGTTAGGAAAATCAAGGATATATATTTTTTTGTCATTAAAATTGATGCACCTCTGTATGATAAAACAAAACATTATGCTATAGCTGTCAAAGTGGAGGACTTAACTGGAAAAGTCAGTGTCCCTATATGGTCAGTGGAAAGAGAAAGTTGCCTTGAAAAGGCAGTTCAGTGTAAGATATTCTACTTCCATACATCCTTTACAGCAACACGTTTAAGTGGAGAACAAGATATCTATAAAATTAGCTGTCATCTGAGCTATGTGCCTAAAGCTAGGTAATGGAAATCATCCCAGAACACAAGCATTTAGTAGATGCAGCAATGCACAGGGAGTATTTGCAGGTACTGGGGTCAGCTAAATGAGGCTTGCAAAACTCAGCTGTTCTCCCCTGTCTGCATAAATCTAGCTGTAGCTGCTGCTGTTTTTAATATATTCTGATACATAACATACCGTGTCCAATACTCTGGTGTCTGAACAGATTTCACTATAAATCATCTACAACATCTTTTGTGCTTTAGTGTCTAACTCTTCTGCAACAGTCATTACTGAGAACATTTTTGTCCGTTACTGGGTGACTTACTGCATGATCCCATGCTAAACTTACCTGTGCAGTACTACTTTTAAGATTGTTAGATCTTTCAGTGCCTTTATATTTAATGGACAATCATGTGCAACATGAACAAAGACCACAAGAATCACTGGAAAGAGTCTTATTTATTAGTGCAGGTTCAGGCTGAGGTCTCTGTCCAATAACAGGTTCAAGCTTTTTTTTTTTAAGTCAAATATCCCTACCCTTCTGTTACAGAATCATAGAATCATTAAGGTTGGAAAAGACCTTCAAGATTATCTGGTCCAGCCATCACCCTACCACCAATGTCACCCACTAAACCATGTCCCCAAGCACCATGTCCAACCTTTCCTTAAACACCCCCAGGGACGTTGACTCGACCACTTCCTCGGGCAACCCGTTCCAATGCCTGACTGCTCTTTCTGGGAAGAAATGTCTCCTAATTTCTAACCTAAACTTTCCCTTGCGCAACTTGAGGCCATTCCCTCTAGTCCTATCACTAGAACCTCAGTCATCCAACCACAGTATGTAAATAACATGGAAACTTTTCTTTTACTAGCAGAATTTACCCATAGTTTAGTTTGCTGAGTAGCAGAAGGTTACAAGAAAGGTTCTGATTGTTTCAAGCAGAAACCATCTGCCATAATTTGCAATTGCCTTGTAATTTTGAGCTACTTTCATGCTGATTCTGCAAATTAATTCTGTGAACAGAGCTCTGCACAATTTTAACGAGCATTAGACTGAACTGTCTATATGGTATTTAATTCCAGTGCAATTAAATGTTCATGCAAACAACTGCTTGCCTACAAGTCATTTGTAGGACTGGTGAGCTATGGATTAATTTTGTGGTAAGAAATGATCATGAACGATGGTATTTTCCTTTACTCATGATCAAAAGTAGCAACTGTAATATATGGAAAATAATATATGAATTTATGTTAGATTTAGTTACTTTGTCCTGACTTTTCTAATTCTTACATATAATTTACAGTGAACATTTCAGATGTCAGAAAATGTTGTGTAATTTTCTTTCATTAATGTGTTTTAGCCAAACAAATATCAGCTTGCCAATCCTGTGCTAGTCTTGTCAGAAATATTCTTTCTCAAAAACAAAAAAGTATTGACTGGAAGCAAATTTATATTATTGATTGCTCTGTTGATTTTATGCTACCTTCATTTAATGGTCCTAGAGATGTGTAATATTAAGAGAAATCACAAAATAATGCCATAGTACAAAAAGTTTTAGCCTACAGGTGTGATTTTACCTTCTGAATGATCTTATCATATAATTTTCTGCAATTAGAAAGGAAGGTGCAGGGAGGACAGAGCCAGGCTGTGTTTAGTGGTGCCCAGTGCCAGGACAGGAGGCCCTGGGCACAAACTGGCCCCCAGGAGGTTCCCCTGAGCACCAGGAGCCCTTCTGTGCTGTGCGGGTGATGGAGCCCTGGCACAGGCTGCCCAGAGGCTGTGGGGTCTCCTCCTTGGAGCCCTTCAGAAGCCACCTGGACGTGGTGCTGGGCTCTGGGTGATGCTCTGGGTGTCCGTGCTTGGAAGTCCTTTCCAACCTCAACCATTCTGTGATTCTATGCAACTAAAAACTGAGGTCTCGTTAAATTTAGTGTACTGTATATGCCAGAAAGAAGACAAAATGATGTGATACTAGAACATTTTAATAAGTTATAACTTACCTGGAAAAGCGGAAAATCACAGTTACTATAGTGCAGACAACACCATACAACAGTCCCACATTAGCAGCAAAACAGATTGTGAACACGTAAGTACTAACCCATATGCTCTTTAAGGAGGGAAGAAAAAAACTTGATTAGGTAAATGGTGATTAGCTTTAATTTTGTGACAATGAACATTATATGATTCAGGAAAAAAAAAAAAAAAAAAAAGAGGTGAACATTTGGATCTTTGAACTGACAAATACAGAAGACTGAATTATCAATCAAAATAATGTCACTCCTCTAGAGAACACATCATCATAATGCTCACAGAAGTTCACTTTGGAGTTCCTTAAAACAGTGTATGAAATTGCACTAACAGTCTAATTCAGAATAAACTCAGTTTGTTAAACCTATATTTGATTTTTTCACATTGTAAGTTATTGTCAGCTTCTTCACTGCACACAGTTTAAATCCCCCTTTTCTTTTACACAATGAAGTACCCTAAAGATCACATACAAAGAGCTCTTCCCACACTGGTAATTTAATTGGGAATTATAATTTGATAGGAAGTTAACTAAAAGTGGCATTTAGCAGACTATAGCTGAATAAACCAACTCTCTAACAATTTTAAAATATTGGGGAAGGAATTTGTTTACATGAAATTGGTAACATTTCAGATTGTTTCCCCATCTTTCAATGCTTTATAAATAATACTTTGAATTCATTTTAAATATAATTAACAAAAATATAAAGAAGAATATCTGAAACAAAAGTCACTTTAAAAGGGTTTTAAAATATTTAAAAGAAAAAAAAAAAAAAGACTTTTTTTTCTTAATTTATTTCTAAACAAAAATAATCATTTATATTTCCATACTATAATACTCCATGTGGCATAGAGATGTACAGATTTTTAAATTAAAAGAAGTATAAATGACTGGATTTCTTATATAACTTTAATATTCAGCACATAGTTCTTTCCTTGAGGGACCCTTAAGCAAAGACTGCCACCTTAGCTTTATATAAAAAGTGTTAAAAAAGAATGGCAAGTATTTTCACTCCTGTGAATATACAGTTCTCCACAGGTACCCCTTTGAACAATTACAGTGCTTCTCATTAATGTTTGCAGAGGAACAGATCACATTACAATGGCAAAATTGGTGTTAAAATTACCCTTTCTGATGCTTTCACTTAGCTCAAGAAAGCCAGAGACAATAGCGTACTTTCAGCCTAACCACAGGAATTTTGCTCAAGTAGATTTCAGAACTGTTATTTTATGTATTATAAACTGTAACTCATACAATTCATGCTTCATGGAGGACAGATTGTTACATGACTCTACTGAGAAACCTTTTCCTCCCTCATCTTCAAAAATTCTTAACTACTGCAAAAGGTTTTGCAGTCTCCTCTGTGACCCAGCTGCCAGGAAATGAGGTGGTTCATTCTTTGAAACAGTTCTCAGCCTCCAGTAATATTTTAAAATGAGATCTTATACAAATTTACAAATTACCGTGGATATATTTGCGAAAAAAAAAAAAAAAAAAAAAAAGTTTAGTACTGACTGATCAAAAAGAAATTAGTTCTAAATGTATTTATTATATATCTATAAAGAAGCTTTCTAAATGTGAAAGGGCTAACAGAAGGACTACAAACCTCAAATTAATTTGGATCAAGAGTTGGCCCATTCTGGTAAGGCTGAACCCTTGACAAAGCCTGAGATAAGCAATCCACTTCAACTGCAGACCTGTGCCTTGTTGTCACCTTATTCTTGATATCACATCTAACTAAATATCTGCTGCAAGACCTGCAAAATTCTTCTTAGTCTCAGAAGAAAAAAGGAAAGATGAAATCCCAAAACAAAGTCTACACTGGAAGAATCAAAGCCAAAAATGTTGAAGTACTGCTGAGTACTGAGAAAGCTAGTTGAGTGCCCCTTTAGCAGCATAGTATCTTACATCTTAACTGTAACCAGAGACTGCTATTTTTGTAGAGGATGGGCCAAAACAATCATATTCTCATCTGCCAATCACCCTTTCAGTGATTTATATTGGCCTTGAGTCAGTACTTTTTATACAGAGTAGCATCAAACTTGTAGGAAGAAGTTATGTTAATCTGCTAGACTTTTTTTTTTTTTTAATTCATGGGCTGTTGTAAGGTTCAACAAAGAAGTCATAAAAACATCAAAGGTTTCTTTGGCAACTTACTTCAAGATTGTTAGTACATACTCCAGGATAGATAGAATCTAACCACTTCATTCTTCAAACCTCAGAGATAATGTATTATATAGGTACACGTTACTCTCAAAAATCAAAACAAAATCCAACTTCAAAATATGTTTGTACTATATTTTAAAGACAGAGAGAAGAAACAAGTAGAAGATACAGATTTATGTTGAATCCTGTATGTATCAGAAAGTATCAGAAGCATTGGGAGGTATTGTGACTGCACGTGTGTAGCAACTCTCTGAAACTCTATGGGCAGTGTGTTTCCATGTAGACCTTTGAATTTCATAGGATCTACACATCCACCACTGGGGGAAGGCTGTGATAGGAACTTGGTGGGATAAAAGCATATAATCATGCCCTAACATGATTTGACTGACAAGCCTTGCACTGTATATACTGTGAAGTATGCCAGTCACTTGCAGGTAGAAGAATCCTATTAAAGTCCTCTTCATTCAGCGGTTGTCTTGGTAGAGAAGGTGCTGAGTCCAGGAGGAGGCTCAGACTACAGGAAGGATACATAGTACATCCATGTCTAACATCACCCAGGGCTCAGTATTAGGGCCACATCTCTTTAATATCTTTATTGATGAACTGGATGAGGGGATCGAGTGCACCCTCAGTAAGTTTGCAGATGACACCAAGTGAGGTGCGTGTGTCGATCTGCTCGAGGGTAGGAAGGCTCTGCAGGAGGATCTGGATAGGCTGAACCAATGGGCTGAGGCCAACTGTATGAGGTTCAAGGCCAAGTGCCGGGTCCTGCACCTGGGGCACAACAACCCTCAAGCAGTACTACAGACTGGGAGATGAGTGGTTGGAGAGCTGCCAGGCAGAGAAGGACCTGGGAGTGATGGTGGACAGTCGGCTGAATATGAGCCAGCAGTGTGCTCAGGTGGCCAAGAAGGCCAACAGCATCCTGGCTTGTATAAGAAGCAGTGCGGCCAGCAGGGCTAGGGAGGTGATCGTCCCCCTGTACTCGGCTCTGGTGAGGCCGCAACTCGGGTACTGTGTTCAGTTTTGGGCCCCTCGCTACAAGAAGGACATCGAGGTGCTTGAGCAGGTCCAGAGAAGGGCGACGAAGCTGGTGAGGGGTCTGGAGAACAAGTCTTACGAGGAGCAGCTGAGGGAGCTGGGATTGTTCAGCCTGGAGAAAAGGAGGCTCGGGGGCAACCTTATCACACTCTACAGGTACCTTAAAGGAGGCTGTAGCGAGGTGTAGGTTGGTCTATTCTCCCACGTGCCTGTTGACAGGATGAGGGGGAATGGACTAATGTTGCGCCAGGAGAGGTTTGGGTTGGATGTTAGGAAGAACTTCTTTACTGAGAGGGTTGTTAGGCATTGGAATGGGCTGCCCAGGGAAGTGGTTGAGTCACCATCCCTGGAGGTCTTTAAAAGACGTTTAGATGTAGAGCTTAGTGATATGGTTTAAAGGAGGACTGGTTAGTGTTAGGTCAGAGATTGGACTAGGTGATCTTGGAGGTCTCTTCCAACCTAGATGATTCTGTGATTCTATTATTTTGCAGACAAATGACTGATGCCTGCATACATTCCTCAGAGTACCCTGCACCAAAACTCAACATGAGTGCTGAAGTCCACTACAGTCATACAAGAGGAACTGATGAATAGTAGATGATACAGTACGTTTTTAATATCAGTTTTCACAAGCATTCCATACTCAAGAGTTGAGAGGGTATTTGTTTCTGCAGACTGCCTGGAGACAGATGGACTGATATAAATATTATTTTTTAAAAAGAACTTATATGGCAATCACACTCTCAGTGGATTAAGCACTTGTAAACCCCTTCCCACTCCACTTAGACAAACTGCAGCAAAATTAATGTAACACAGAGTAGCATGTTCACTAATGCAGGAGGGATAGAAAATCTAGGACTTCATAACCTAGAAATATTTGTGTTAAATTATTGTCATAGAAGAGCTGGATTGTTTGCTACTCTGTGGAAATTTGATTATTAGCAAAGCCTTCCAAGATCTCTCACGAAACAGGGCCTCACCATGAAGAATACCTGAACAAATCTAAAATGTTATCATGAGGCTATCCACATGAGGATAAGAAGATAAAATGTTCTAAAAATGCATGAAATTACACCAATGGGCTCCGAAATCCCATGGAAGACCTTCCCTGCACCCCCTACTCCAATCTATTTTGACAAAATAGTTAGACTTTGTGTCTTAAAAACCCACACTGCCAAGATGCTGGAGGGCACTTGTTGAAAGTAAGCCCTCCCTTGTTGGCTCTACTTTAATTGCTGATTTGGTATCATTGATTACATCTTTTACATATTAATAAATGTGCACTTACAATTCATTCATCCATAACTACCTCTCACATCACAGCACCATGCAAGGAATGTGTAATTTTTACCATAAATTGTTGCTGTTCTTTCTGTTTTACAAGTCAGGCACACAACTTAGCTCTGTCTCAGCTAAGGTCATTTCCTAGCCTAGACATTTGTACAATTTCTAACACTTTTTATCTTTAAATATTATTTCTCTGTTCAATACCCTAAATCCCTTTTATATAGCTGTTTAACTCATGAGAATAATCCTTATTCGATTGTCATTTTTCACCTTCTGAAACACATTTCCCCTGTATTTGATAATTTCTGTTTCCAAATGTTAACAACAAAATGAACATTTTTCTTTCGCAGTCTATTATCAGTCTTTGACTAGTTAGAATAGCTGCATCTCATCTGGGATTTTCAGCCCTAAAAAGAGTTAACAAGGACTTTACTGGCCTTTTTGTTGATACTAGGAAAGTGCACTCTCAAGTTGGTGAATAGAAAAGAGAAGATATGTTAACAAGTAGGCCTACAGAAGGAATTACCCTTGCTGGGAAGGGTACAGAAACCAATGCTTGAACTGATGACCTGAAAAGATGACCTGAAAAGTGAGGTACCCCTACAGAAAAAGTCCACTTTCCCTCCCCCACCTCACCTTGCCTCCCCCCCCACCCCCCGCCAAAAAAAAAAAAAAAAAAAAAAAAAAGAGGCAAAAATTCATGACAAATCATTCTCAGGTCAGCGTACAAAACACAGATAACACAGGGATCAACACCTTAGAAACAACCAAAAGATGGAGGGAGGAGAAAATCTGTAAAGTATATAGTTATGTCAACATACTGTTATTTTAAAACACATATCAGTGGAATAGAACAATTATTTATCTGAAATCATTGAGGTAATCTGAAAAGGTGTTGGGGCTAACAGAAGATCTTAATTGAAGCAAGAGACCTTTAAAGTTAATGTGAAAGTTGTGAATGACAGGAAAGGACTCTGGAACAAGAGCAGTGATGTTCTAGCTGGAAAGAAGTTCATTGTGATTTGAGGGGTGGGATTTAAAAGCAGGACATTCCTGAAAGCAGATTAAAAAAAAAAAAAAAAAAAAAAAAAAAAAAAAAAAAGTTGAAAGAAAACTGAAACAAGTAATGTAATTATATTAAGGTGATCATTAAATTTGCAAGAGAAAGCAATCCATGGCTGAATGGAGAGATTTCAAGCTGTACCTTTTACATTTGAAAGGATTATGATGTATTAAATCACTACTCGACAAACTGTGTTCAATGAGAAGCTTAAGTGTGAGGGAACAAGGTAACAAAAACTATAACACTATGTTTCCATGCACTATCATTTGCCAGACACGTGAGCATAACAAACCTGACTTCTATGTTACATGACACACACCCTTCAAAGAATCAGTTCCAGAAAGGACAGCTGCTAATTACTTCCAAATGTTTTGTAAGAGTTTCTCTCTTCAAAATGCTCTGGATAACCTGGTAATGGAACTGATTTGTTTCCAACAAGCTGTCAGGTCTTGGGTGAATGTTTTCAGGCCAAAATCAACACCATTGTAATTTCTCAAATCACTGGGCTTGGTGGGGCTCCTTAGCCTAGGCAGCAACATAAGATCCATGTTTAGAGCTTTAGATTATGCTATTTAAAGAAGGATGATTTACCCTGTCAGGCTAAGGATTGATGGTACAACTACTTGAAGATAAATCAGTGCTCAAGTACATTCAGTCAAAAAGATAAACCCAGCAAACTCTCCCTCTCTATAACCTCTCTTAAAAATAATGACAGACGTCAGAGATGTAATAACTACTCACCCATCCTTTTCTGTCAAAACTACAAAAGCAAAAATCAATCAGGCTAGTCTGCCTATAAAGGTTCATCAAGGCTAGTGAGCTTCTAGAATATTCTGCTGGAAAACTTAACCACTTATTTTCTCAATGCATTGTTAGGGAAGCTATAGATCCCTCCCATAACTACCAATTTTCCTAAGTCCACTGTCCCAAAAATAATTCTTGATCCACACCATTGATCATTTGGGTCACTGGCAGCCTGGGTCAAGCTGAAGACCAAATACAGTACATACGATAGAAAATTATTTCAGAATTTTGCTGCTAGGAATATAAGACTTCATGAAAGATAGACCTTTTCTTCTGGATTATACCAATATTATTATTATTATTATTAATAATAATAATCAACTCTAGTCTTCTGTCATGGAATAGGAGAAACCTCACACAGTCAAACTTGATGATGTTTACTCAATTCCATTTTCCATATTGAAATTCAGTACTTTATAAAAATATTTATATTTTAATCAGGATAGAATGACCATTGCCCCTGTAGAATACTAAGTCACTGGAGAGTTCAATAAAATTGAATATTACCTCCAGAAACCTGTATCTCCCACCACAGAACAGGGGGATGTGCCCAAAATACCTTTATAAATGTTTGCTAACTGAAACTGCATAAACAGAAATTTCGGAATCATTATGGGATATCAATATGTGTTTATGTGATCTAGAAAGCTGTTAGAAGTTTTGGTTCCACTAATTATGCAATGTGTTCAAAGGATCCCTAGGAAAAGAAATCTAGAAGCCTTCTTGACATGGAGTCATCTTTAATATTTGCTGGGAATTCTGTGCAAAGGATGTCAGATTGTTCAGACTTTGCATTATACTGTATTTGCTTACTATGCCTCTTCCTGCCTGTCTGCTCTTTCTGCTCTATTTTATCTCTAATATTGCAGAATCTTTCATAATGATCAAATACATATTTTCTTTGCAAAATCTCTGAGTTAAGGCAATTTACCTACAGCACACTAGGACATACGTCTTTCTGCATCTCTGGTGTTTCCAGTTCTGTTTGTCACGTATGGTCATTCCATATCCAAAGAGAACAAAGATACTGGGATTTTTGACAATAACAAAAAATAACAAAATATTAAAAAATTTTGCCAATAGCAAAAACATGCTAACTGGATAGAGTAGGCTTACAAAATTAGATACATACCTGACCCAATTGATCTGATCTGACAGTATATACATTTTCAACATTAAATAGGGTTTGATTCTTTATCACTTGCCAAAATTTCTAAAATTTATTGTTATTATTTTTAAATACAAACCACTGATATTTCAGATGCTGCTATTCTGAGACAGAAAATCAGCTGATTAATACACAAAAACCCTAATAATAATGTCTTGCATTTATCTATTCTAAGGCCATAGAACTATTAAAGTTTATTTTGCAAGTATTTATTAAAGGCCCTCAAGAAAAACTCCTAGGATTGAGTTTCACTTACCCAGTCTATTTTATCCACATTCCAATATTTTTTTAAGTCACGGAACTGCATTAACATTCCTTTCAAGCCCACAATGATAATGCTTGCTAGCACACACTGAAAAAAAAAAAAAAAAAAAAAAAAAAAAAGAGAGAGAGAGAGAGAGAAAGAAAAACAAAAGCTTGTTATGAAATTAGTAGGGAAAATGAATGTTCTTTCTCCAATTCAGTGATCAATATTGCAATCAAATTATTGAAAATCTGAAGTTAGTGTTTCAAAAGTGGGATAAGTTCAAGCATTTCAAATATTCTTCTGATGTAAATATAATAGTATCACAGACATTCTTTTTCTTTCTTGAAGGCATTCTAGAGGGCACTTGACTATGAGAAAATGACAAAAACTTCAGGACATTCCGAGACTCTCCATGTATCATCAGACCAACTACATTCTGACACATTTGGGGGACTCCAAAGCAAATCAGTGCTAAACTTCTCCATAGTGAATAAATTAAATTTCCCTTCATAATTACCTGCAGAAAGTGTTTAATGCAAAATAAAAACTAAATAAAAATCCGTTAATTTTGTGGCAGACAAGATAATTTATAGTCCTCCAAATAAAAATAAATAAATAAATATTAAAAAAAAAAAAAAGGCAGAAAAAGGATGAAGAAATCTTCAGGAGCTCAAGAATGATGGAGAATAATCAACTTGCAATGTTGAATAGGTACAGAGGACTGAAAAAGCATAGGAGAAAAGTAATGAAATATCAAGAAAGCAACATACGAAACATTTTTCTTTTTCTAATATGGAAAAATCTATAGGAAAACAGTCAAAGCTTACATATATTCCATATAAAAATGAAGAGAGGAAAAGAGTATAGTAAGAAAAAAGACATATTGTGCATCTTCAGACGTCTCTGGTTTGCATGATTAGAATAAGCTATAAAAGGTTGTTTTTGAAAAGTGTTCTGCCTTCATCTGACATTGCAAACAATAGCATGAAGTAAGTTTTAAAATTGTATGCAAACATAGCAAAATTCTAGATAATTTTGGGGTTGTATTCAGCATCTTTGACATCTTTAAGTAAAATTAATGGAATCATAGAATGGTCTGGGTTGGAAGAGACCTGTTGCTGGAAGCTGGGTTGGAAGAGACTTTAAAGCTCATCTAGTTCCAACCCCCTTGCCATGATCAGGGACACCTCCCACTAGATGAGGCTGCTCAAAGTCCCATCTAAACTTGAACACCTACAGTGATGGGGCATCCACAGCTTTGCTGGGCAACCTATGCCAGTGCCTCACCAGCTTCTGAGTAGAGTTTATATCTAATAATCTTATACCTAATAATATCTAACAATCTTATATCTAATAATATATAATTTAAATCTCCCCTCTTTTAGTTTAAAGCCGTTACTCCTGGTCCCATCACTACACTCCCTGATAGAGTCCCCTTAAAAATAAATAAATAAATATTCCTTTTCAATATCAAAAGTTAGATATATGTTGTCTGAAAATGCATCATGTTACTTTATAGATTCTTAATGCAGAAGATGTATTCCATGACAGAGTTATAGGAATATATAATATTTTTCTGTAATTAAGCTTAGATTACTATTTTCAATCATCTCTGTTACATTTATTTCAAAAGCATAATCATACATCATATAAATAACGGGAGTAATATTGTGGATCTCCATTAATTTCTACCAAGCTCTGTCAATTTAAAACCACAACAATATGGCTGTATACTTTCCACAAACTACATGTCAAAAGTAAGTAGAAGAGAAATGCTTTATTATATGCTTAAGTGATAGCTTATATACATAACAATGTATGTGTAAAATCTACATATACTACACAGTCACCTCTATATTTTATTATTCTAGGACCATGTTCTACCCTTGCTATTTTCTCTCATTGAAATTAAAGGGAGCTATTTCAGATGTAGTACGACATTTCTTTCCCTCAAAGAAATTAAGTCTTTAGAAAATATTTGATGCAAACTTTAAAAAATAAGATAGGGAACATACCATAGGCAGCCAGTATAGCATTGGTCCAATTGTGTAGATTACCACAAGAATTAATGCAGAGGAGATAAGGCAAGCCACCTAAAATAAATAAAGAAGAAATTCCAATCCAATCACCCAATTAAAAAAAAAAAAAGTTTTATTATTAAAAGTTGTAGACATAATCAAGAATGAGATGTTGAATATGTCAGCTATTAATGTATCTATGGATTGCAGAAACATGTAGTTTCAGTTTCTATCTAGGGTGATTACCTTCAGCCAACTACAGTTAGAACATAGTAAGGGATACCAATATCTGGGTTAGAACATGATGTCAGTACACAGAGTGAGAGCATGATGCCACCAATGTAGTTATTAAATGAAACGTGTGTAAGTAATATCTCATTTCAGATGTTTTACAGCATCCAGTGTCATTTCATAACATATTTATAACAATTGCATTCTATGTTGCACTGAATCACAGATCTGTCATAACACTGAGTACAACTTATATATGAAGAACTGTATTATTATTTTTGCACAGGACAAGTTTTCTAACTTCTTTTACTGGGATTGGCACTGAAAGGAAGCTATTGGGAAGCTATTGGGTTAAGTCAGAAACTACCAATGACCCTTGTGCTATAGCAGCTATGCACTTTATTTTAGAAAACATAGCAGCAAATTACATTTATATGTATATGTAATGATAATTAATGCAAGTAACATGAATCCAGACAAACATATGGCCTAAGAATGATGTTACTTCACAGTATTCATGGTATTAATCTGATGGAAAACTACAGTAAAATTGCAATCTCCTTCTCCACTTTGACTGTTCACAAAGTAGAGAACTTCTGGTCTCATTAAGATACAGTCCAGATTCACAGAACGTTTGATGGTAAGTAGACAGATGCTCACTTTATTTTTATATTGATAAAACGTTTCTTTACTAAAATAATTAAGTTTAAATTAAGAGACAAGTTGTTAAAAACAAAACCAGACAAGTTGTTAAAACACTAGAAAAGAGAGCCATGGTGTACTTAAAAATACCATCAAGGAGGGTAGACAGAGTGTTTACAGCAAAAGGGACACAAAATCTGCTGGTAGAGTCGCAAGGAGCTTTTCCCTTTCTCTGCCTTCTCAAAAAAGCAACACACCTCCCAAATAAAAAAAAAAAAAAAAAAAGTGTTGATTCTACTTGAAGGACACTTCTCAGTCTATGATACAGTCCTTCACTTCTGTTGTCTCCTTGGAAAATATATCAGTGAAGAATATGTGACATCACCGAATGCAAAATGTAGTCTTTGGAGAAAAGAGGGGTATGCATATAACCTCTGAAAAGCTCTTCATATTTCTCTCATGTCTCCCTGTGTTGTGAACAACTCAAGCTGTTGCTCCTTTCTTTTTTTTTCCTTATGATATGGCAAACATCAATTAGTGATATTCTAATTTATTCATTCTGCCTGGACAGACCCAGAAGAAAGGTCTTGAGTAGATATGTTGTCTTCAAAAACAAAGGCAAAGAAGGCAGGAGAGAGAATGTTGTTATTTATGCACTTATAAATACTTATTTATAAAGTATTCTCCTAATCCTAGTGTATGACCACAGTCCAATTTGTGGACGCAGACTCTGCAATACTATGAAACTTCTGGATAAAGCAAGTCAACACTTGCTATTTTAGGACTTCCTACCTTGACTTCAAACCATGTTGGTTTCTTTTTCCATTTCATATTGTGAATGATGTTCTAGTGGGGCCTTTGCCTATATCTTCCAGAACTCAGATGTCCTATATGCCTTCAACCCATACAGGTTACCCAGATAGGCCTTCAGGTTACCCTAAAGCTTCCCACAATTCAGTAAAACTGCACTTTGCCAACAAAAGATATGAGCAGGTAAGAGAAGAGGGTATCTGTGATGGCGAGGGCACATGGCATGACATTGAATCCAACACAAAAACTTGAAATAGATGATACCAAAGTGGTAGCTAAACTATTTGCATATAAATGCTTTCAAAGATGATTATTGGATAAATTATTCATTATGATTAACTGCGTTCAGAGAAGTGTGCTGGCTAATTAACACATAATTAACATGCAGAGTTTTGAAATAAAGTCTTGTATCATTTCTCAGTATTGTGGTGTCTGCTTGAGAAACAATTGCACAATATAGTCAAGAAACATCGGTGCCTACAGGACTGTGCTTAAGCTTGTCAGTCATTTAGCATTAGCATTTACCTTGTAATTAATGACCTTTATACAGGCAAGGCCAACATTATAAAAGGACAATTGCAATAAATTCCATGGTACACATTTATGTGGCAGGATGACACTGATGGACGTTTGAGTTTCAGAGGAAGGAGGGAGAGGCAGTGCTCAAGGTTTCCCAGCTAGGGGTAGCCCACATGGTGCCATCATATGCCAAGGTCTCAGAAGAGCAGTTTGCTGCTTTTCTTGTTCACAAGGCACAGGTAACAATATTACAGGGTCACAGTGAGCATTTTCTTTGATTACAATTCCCTCTTTTCCAATGCTATTGCCACAGAATCTTTTGGATTTCATTTCCATCAGAAAGAGAAAGCAAAAAAAAAAGTCCTGAAAAAATGAAATGTCATCTCTGTGGTCTCAATGAATGCTGAGGGACAGGACAAGTACACCATGTCACAAGGCAGAAGCTGAAGCATTGCTTCCTCTAGGAGCAGCTCTTAAGATTACTTCTCTTTATTTTGAAAATCAGATAAGAGCACCAAATTAATTTAAAACAACAACAAAAAACAACAGTTTAGCCTGAACCATTACATTCCTTAGACACCATTAGAGGGCACTTTTGTTACAGTGCTGACAGATAAAAAATAATAATAATAAAAAAATAAAAAAAGTCTTCTGTATAGTTTTCTGCAGTCTGAAAGCAAAGCACTGAAGGCACCTTACTGCCCCAGACTTAAGAGTTTTTATTGAATTAAGCTGGTAAAAATGCATAAGGGGAACCGTTAGCTTTTCTAGTAAGACGGTTGCTGATCCATGCAGTAATTCCATGCAGATTGTTAAAATTGACTGGACAGAGTAATTTTCCAGGATAGAGGAAAAGGGAGAAGAGAGGAGTACAATGGATCAACAAGTGCAAGCTCCAGTGAGCAGCATCGTAGACTTATTTGTCCTACTGACTGCACTGTAACCTCTTACCTGTGTTCTGGCGCCCGTACTATATAAAAGTGCCGTCCGCCCCATTGCTGCTGCACTTGGTATGCAAAAGAAAAATGAAGGAATCACGTTGCTGAGACCATGAGCCAAAAATTCCTGCAAAGTTGTTAAAAAGAATATGTTTTTTTCCCCCTGTTATTCTGTCATTTCAATGTTTTTAGCCAACAAAGGAGTCTCCTATGCAAATATTAGCAATGATAAAGGATGGGCATATTTTTTGAGGGAAAATAGCACATACATACATGATAAAATATCTCCCAGTATAATATATCTTCTTACAACACAGAGCTATTTTGAAAGCCACCGAACCCAGATTCATCAAAAGAAGAAGAGACGTTTTGTTCACAAAACAAATGATAGTACTAAGTTTTGAAGATGAAATTCAGCAAAAATATTTACATCATGATACACATCTGCTTTTTAACAGGCAGCAGTCTCAAGTAGTGGGATCTGGAGAATGTCCAAGTTTTTTCTGGCTTATGACTCTACTGGAAGAAGACAGCCACTGTCTTTTTTTTTTTTTTCTTCTTCTTTTTTTTTCTTTCATAGCATGCTTTAGTGAAAGTGAAGTATGGCAGCAACACTATCTGTGTACTGTAATTCATTACAAATGTATCTGATGTATATTCACAATCAAAATGCAGACGTGTCTGGAAAATGACTTACAGAAGAAAAAGTGCAGTGGGGAAATTACCTTGTGTCTGCAGCCTGAGATGAACAGCTTTTAAAGCTGTTCAAAAGCACCCCAACTTGGCTACCCAGCATCAGCCTCCTACCCCAGGGCTTCATCTGCTGAGGGGAATGTGTAAGAGAAGACATCTGTACTGCTAGAAGTACACAGGCTCAGTACACAAATGGTATTATATCCAGCCAGGACAACACATGATCATATGTTGGTCTCCACAGCACAGGACAGCACCACTTTAAAGGACACAAGATAGCCGTGAACATCAATGTATCACCATGTAGAGCCCCCTCTGCCTGGTCCCTGAATGCAATGCATCTTTGCCACTATGCTGCCACACTGTATGCTCTATTCTCATGAAGGGTTTGCTCTTTGCTCCGTTATTCTGTGCAGACATTTAAATTGTTCCCACCACTTCAGTAATTAAGTAGCGTAAGTTACAAGTTTTCCAAACATGCAGAAAGACACACAGGTTGCTGTGCTCCATGTAGTGTCCTTGAGACACTACAGCATATCAGCTCAAAGTGCTTTCCCCCTGCTACCTGGGAAACACTGTTCTGCAGCATCAACAGAAATTCATGAAACAAAGTATTCATTCTGAACATTTTTTTAGAGAACTGAGTAGACGAGAACATTGTCACTTTATATTTCCAGTAATAGCAGAAACTGCAAAGCACATTCACTGATGTAGCAAGTCTGACCTGTTGAGATAGGATGACCAAATGTCTCCAGCGGCAAAACCACCATCCAGCTTTATGTCATTTATCTCAAACCATTTGACAGCAAAATGTGGGCAGCATTCTCATCACATAGCACTATTTGGTAGCTAGGACCTTATTTTAAATGGAGTATTTACTACTATGGATTTCCACTCGGCTTGAAGTTACCTGTCCACCATAACCAGCAGTGGGGTAGTGCAGGAAGCAAACATCCCACTTTTATCTGCAGCTTGCCTGCTGCAGAATGGAACTCTGCACAGAAAGCTCTTACAGCTGCAAATTTGGCACTGCTCTCTGAACCCACCCTGCTTCCTTTATATAAATAAACCTTTATTTCAGATGGGACTTCTACTCTGCATAACCCTTATTTTATAACTGATAAATATTATAAATGTCCTGGGGCTGTAAGTACCTGGTTTATTTTTAAAATTGCTTTGTTTCTTTAATCAGTAGCTGATTTAAAATCTTAGCTGGTCTTTAAGACCTCAGCTGCCAGAAGAGAAGCTGTCTTGCCTTAAAACACTGGAAAAACACGTTAATACCTAAATTGGCTGCTGGCTGGACCAAATGCAGCATTATGAGGTTATCCTGAAGGAAGCACTTTCCCAAAAGGTATATCTCAACTAACTATGCTATAACAGAGCTGATTTGTACTAGATTGTAGTTTTACAGTAATCACTGGAAGGCCTCAGGATGCCACATGAAACTTACCCATTCCTACTGGGCATTCATCTATAACACATTTCCAAAATGGTGAAGCAATTTCAAGGCTTACTGACCTTAAGGTCTCCTCACTTAAGGAGAAAGAGCTTTACCTGGTTGTCATCCACAGTGTATTTAAACTTTTTAGCAGAGCCTTGGGCTAGAGCTAGCGATGCTACATAACCAACCAGTGCTACTCCAAAAGCTTCAGTGACTACTTCAGACAGGACATTCATGGGTGGCAGTTTTGGTGGTGGTAGCCTGTATTAAAAAAAAAAAAAAAAAAAAAAAAAAAAAAAAAAAAAAAAAAGCAATCCTTTGTGCAATTTTTGCAATTCATGAAAATACAAGAGAAACAGAGAAACAGTCTCTGTATGTCTGGTTAACATTTAAATACTTGTAAGGTGATATTTATCGATATTTTAGATTAGTAAGATAACTGTCTATTGGGAACTGCAGGGAAAAACTGTAGTGGCAGATGAAAGTTTTAGATAGAGAATTCCATTTGTAAACTGTGGTTTGAGAATTTATGAAGAGCTCCCTTTAAATTATCTCTCTCTCCACTGACATAAAATCCCCAATTCACTAATTTTGTAATAAGAAATAGAAGAGATTTGACTTTATATCTTTTTTCTTTTTTCATACTTGGCTTTCCTGAAAAGTTCAATTTAAATCTTTTAAACTGTTTAGTATCTTCATAGGTTATGGACAGTATGGAAATGTACTCCATCTAAGGGAGACTTTGTAATGGGGGTTGCAATGAAATGCTGCAGTTAAGAACTGAATCACCCCAGACCGCCTATGTACTCCACAAAAGGACTTTAGGATCTCCTTTCTATTATATGTCCACTAGACATCATCAGGTATCCTGTACCTACTCCATAAAGTATTGAAATAACTACAAAAATGTACAAGAAAGTTTGCATTTGATGATAATATCTATACCAATACACCTTTTTAATGTGGGACTGAACTGTGAGAGAGTATTTGAGGAGTTCAGAAATGGACATGATAGATTTTTGCCATTTCTTATTTCAGAAAACTACTTTGACCTCTTCACAAGCTGTTTGCAGAACTAAACATATTTAAAAGCCACAAGCTAATAAAAAGCACATTACCCTTCAGGAATATGTCCCACAACTTCTAGCCCATAGACGTATTCCATATCAGCATAGTAGCAGGCAGCGGATGTAGCAATTATCTGTTTGATTCAATACAGAGAAAGACGTTATGTTTCTGTTGCTTTCAGGTTCTCACATGGTCCCTGTTATTGCCATAGCTAAACACATGACAGGGTTCATGAATTTATCCTTACTACAATTCACTATGACAGGGAAGTATTATTACTAAAATTTCAGCAAATGTGGAAGTGAGGCAAAAGAAACTAAGATCTGGATGCAATAATGGGTTTAGAAAATATGTCTGAAGAAGGTCTATAGTGAAGTTTGGCTGCTCTGTGTTAATAAAAGCAATCTGCAAAAGTCTCTGGAAAGCCTCTTGACAATCAGCATCAAACTGTCCCTATGCATCATGTGCCTCAGGCCACTTCCATTCATGCCAACAGCTTAAAGTAATTCATAATTTAGCCATTCCTGAGTGGTCTGAGGCAGATGATGTTGTCTGAGTGCATCTAATCCAGACTGGCAGAGTCAACTTTGGCACAAAAGAGGTGGTGTGTTTGCCTCCTATATGTATGTTCCAGCATGTATAAACCTTGCTGAGGGAAAGGAAATTTTGGTCCCAAGGATGTTCTACTTGTTCCTTGTAGTTTCTGTGAGCTGATCACATAAATCCCACAAGAACAGGATATAAGAACAGGATCAAGCTCCAGTCCATCATCCTTGATCTGCTGCATTTTCTGGTATTGTTTAAAAGACAATACAGAAACAGATCTTAGAGCAGGGACCAGAACCTCATTTTCCAGCATTTTGCCCATGAGAAAGGATTCTTTTGTAATTTTTTTTCTAAAAAAAAAAAAAAAAAAAAAGAGTAATTGTGATGATCCACTCTGAAAAGAATCTTTCACTTACAAAAAAATAAAAATCTTTTAGATGTCTAGAGAAAAACAGAAACTTCTGTCCTGGTGCTAGTTATCTGACCATAGCTTAATCCTTAAAGTAGAGATTTACAATGCAATAGCTAATTTCAATTTAGCCTATGCCATATGAAAGGAAATCTGTAAGTAAACTTACAGAAAGCAATAGTTTAGGTATTTAAATTTGTTGCAGATAAATAACAGGCAATATCTGAGCCAGAACTACCCAGTACAAGACTTGCCTGGAGTTACAATGTGTCAGTTACTTTTCATTTTCTACATCAAACTTCTTACACTTTAACATGCTAGGCTCCATATTCTTGTAATTATGTAAAAAGTAGTAAGCACATGAAAAATATTACACAAATTGGGAACGTATGTCACTTCTTTCTTAATTATTTAGCCAAACTGTTTCCTGTTCTTACATTTAACATACAGCCATGAAAATTAGCTATCCATTTAATAAGTGGCAGGTGTGGTTGTGGGTAACTATAGACAACATAGTAAAATTTAGCAGATTAGTTAAACCACTGAAAACTCTGTAAAGGAAAACATCTGATATTTAGCTTCATACTTACCAAAACTAGATCGATAGGAAGAACAATTTTAATGTTTCTCTGAAATTTCTCATTCAATTCCTTAACAAGAACAAGCACCACAATGCTCAGCAAGGAGAGAAGTAAAGCCTCTAGTTGAACTGATCTGATATTTTCAAATATGTAGGCATAAATCTACAGTGATTGAGATGAACAACAAATTAGAATCAGATTACAAAATACACTGTTCTGGGTCAAGTGCTATGACATCTACACAACTTGAAATGCTTCGAATTACCCAGGAGATCAGAATCAGTACTCCAGGATTTGAGTCATCTGACACACTAACATCCACTTAACATTTTGCAAGGAAAAAAATCACTAACTTATCATTGCTAAATTCTATGAATTTTCAAAGACTCAAAAAATGTAGTGAATGTTTGTATATAAAAATGTATATATTTCTATTGGTTGGCAGAAGCAAGCTAGAAAATTCCAGTACATATGATATTTATCCTTTTCTTATTCCTCTTCATTAAATTCAATGACAAAAAATGAGTGTTGCACAAAATGTTAAGAGAAGCTTGCACAAAGATTTATTTTAAGTGTCCATAGCTTGTGACATCCATCAATTCCAATGGTAAAAGTAACTTCTATGGGGAAAAAAAAAAAAAAAAAAAAAAAAAAGACAGAAAGGAGGAAGAAGGGCATGGAGAAAAAGAGAATGAATAAATGCAGTAGTGGCTGGGAAGAGAAGCAAGAGGAATCTTCCCAGATGATTGCCCTCTTCAGGGCCCCCTCTCAACACTCATGGGGGTACAGTTTCTAGAGTAACTGTATAGTTTCATCAGGATGCACTCAGTTTCCGTGTTGGTTGCTCTTGCCCATTATACTAAAAGCACTCCACAGAGCACACTTTGATCAGGTCCAGATGCTGCATATACTAATTAGTTGTCATGCTTTGTGTGTGTATTGTTGGCTATTTAAATAACTATTTAAATGACTAATGCTATCTACTAGGCTCTATTTCTTTCCCTAGCATGAAGTTATAGGTTAAAAGCCATGAAGCAAGAGATAGGAAGAGGCTGGAGAGAGAAAGGATGATTCACACATCAGTGGAAATTTTTTTCTGTGGGAAAAACAGCCTTGTGTGGGAATCTGCAGGTGCAAGGGTGCAAAGCACACTGGACCACAAGATTAAAAGTCCTGACACAGCAGGCTCCAGGGTGTTGGGGAATGGCTACAGTACTGCAAGGGAGAGACAGAAAGCAGTGCTAAAAGAGGAGACTGGAGCAGAGCTACAGAGCTGCAAATGGGAGGCCTCAGCTGCTAAGTCTAAGGCGTGGCGCAATGTGATGTAAAGTGTGGTCAGAATAATATTGCATCTGTGATGAAGAAAGGAAATATAATGCTAAACATAAGTAACCTGTGGAACAGAAAGAAGGAATAGGAATAGAATGGCTGTGAATGAATAAAAGGGATATATGATGATGAATACAAAATTGTAAATAACAGGCCTGGAAGAATGCAGTTGCCTTCACTCCAGCACTGAGGACACAGTTATCAGTGAACTGTAATTTCAGTTCTACTCTGAATTTGAGGCTCCTGAAAATGAGGCATAAATCAGAATGATAATAGATTAACAGAAAATAATGAAAAAAAATCACAAGTCCATGGAATGGTTACAAAGGACTGAAGAAAGTTGGAGGAAACTTCCATCATGATATACAAAGGAATAATTATATCCCCATCACAAAGTATTTTCAGGCCTTATGAATAAAAGCAATAGTCCATTGCCTAGAGGAAAAAAAAAAAAAAGAGGCATGAAAATAGAAATAATGCATATGATTAATAAAGCTGCAGGGGAAAAAAACAAATAAACAAACAAAAAAAGTAGTCTCAGTCCCTGAAATTCTGCATTAAAGTTTTGGTCCCTACTGTGTAGCCTGAAATGCAAACTGTATAGAGAACAGAAGTTAAAATCTAGGCTATAGATTTAGACTGCCTCACAAGTATCTTACTTTAAAAAGACAGCATAAAGGATAATAAAATCTAACAACTGAGACAGATATTTAATTAAACAAATGAAAGGTGTTTCTTTTTCTAACAACAAAGATCACTAAAATAAACTGGAAGTGGCATTTGTAGTTTTATCAAAATATAGATTAATAATTTTCAGCCCCACAGAATCTGTTTTCAAACAAATGTATAATGCTAACAGGGTTTGGTGGTTTGGAGTTTAAATACAGATATTTATGTCAGATGGGAAAAAGGACTAGAAAAATTATCTTAGGAAAGAATACTGTTCTAGCAGAAAGGTAGTCAAAATGATGATATTTTTTCCCCATTCTGATTCTGTCTCTCCTTGAAGACATAACGTTTATTTTGAAGAATGAGTAAGTTACAAATAGCTTCCTGATTTTTCCTCTTGTCATTCTTATGAAGTTTTTCATAATTTATAAGGGAAAAAGATACAATAAAAAGCTCTAAAAATTGTTACGGAAAATAAGAAGAAATTGGAGAAGAAATGTATTTTTTCTCATAAAGGGGAAGATGTAGACCATCCCATTGGACTTGGACTTTAGACTGAGGATGAACAATATAAACCAGCACAAACATTTCTCAGAATCTCGAATAAAAACATTTTAAAATCAACTTGTTAAATAAAATGATCTACATGTCATAGATCTGAAGGATGGTAATCGAATAACAGTTTTTAACCACATATTATCCCACTGTCATCAGACAATGTGGACTGTGTCTTGACTGACTTGGGATAAGTCTTTGTATCCATAATTTTCAAAAAATGCATTTTTAAGAGAGTGAAGACCTTGGCTCAGTGCCCAAGCAGGAGCTGTGATTAATTAGGACAAAGAAAGCAATCTGGAAAACTACATTGCGAGCTGTGCCCACGAAGTCATTAAAGTCTGAGCTAGATCTAAGGTAAGGAGGTAAGAAAAGGGAAGAAATAGATTGATTCTTAATTGTTAAAGTCAAAGAGATGTGGGCCTTTTTAAAATGAGCTCTGTCAGCATTAGTTATCTCTGGCTTTGGTGTTGAATTTAATTTGCCTAGACAAACTGAGATATAAAGAAGGCTGAATAAATATAATTCTAATGAAGAATTACTAAGAAATATGCATAAATATTTTGAATGTTTTTCTTTCTTTACAAATTGAATAAAAAAAATAAGATTTGTTATTTTTCTAAAAATATATAGCCAAGACTCCTAGAACTTACACAGAATGGATGAGGCTGTCTGCAGGCTACTTGGTCCTGCCCCTGCTCAAACAGGGATACCCAGAGCAGGGTGCCCAGCACCACATCCAGGCGGCTTCTGAAGGTCTCCAGGAAGGAGACCCCACAGCCTCTGGGCAGCCTGTGCCTGTGCTCCATCACCCATATTGTAAAGTTTAATTGTAAATTTGTAAATTTACAATTGTTAATTGTAAAGCCATTTAGGCGCAAACCCAAGTCTGTGCTCATTCCTTCTTGTCCTGCACAGTGGGCACCAGATTGAACAGTTTCATCTCTCTCAGCCTCTCCTCATAGGACAGATGTTCCAGTCTCTTGGTGGCCCTATGTTGGACTCTTTCCAGAATGTCCAGATCTCTCTTGTACTAGGCAGCCCAGAACTGGACAAAGTACTCCAAGTGCTGCCACGCCAGCACTGAGTATAACAGAAAGATCACCATTATTGCCATACTAGTGATACTTTGCCTAATGCAGCAAAGAATACTGTTAGCCTTCTTAGCAGCAACGGCACATCACTCATTCATCTTCAACTCAGTGTCCACCATGACTCCCAGATCCAATTCTGCCGAGCTGCTTTCCAGATGTGTGGCTCCACCATGTGCTGGTGCCTGGGGTTGTTCCTCCCCAAGTGGAGGGACGCTCTCCTTGTTGAACTTCATGAGGTTCCTGTCAGCCCCACCCTCCAGCCTGTTGAGGTGCCCATGGATGGCAGCTCAGTCCTCTGGTAAATCAGCCACTCCCCCCAATTTGGTGTAATTTGTGAATTAACTGAGAGTGCCCATCATCAAGACTGTTCACAAAGACGTTAAACAGAATTGGACCCACTACTGACTCCTGGGGTACACTGCTAGCTACTGATCTCCAACTAGACTTTGGCCATTAAACACTATAGTGTAGACAGATTCTCTATGAGGATCTTATGGAGAGTAGTGTCAAAGGCCAAAAAAAAAGATTATTTCAAAAACAAGAATGGAAGCTGAGGCAAACAAATGAAGAATTAAATTCAACAAAATAATTATAACACCTTACACAGGTTAAGGGCATGTTGCCCTGCTACATTTTTTAAAAACTGTTTCTTTTTGACAAATACAACACATTGCGTAAGAAAAAAAAAATCAGAGGGAAAAAAAAAAAAAAAAACAGACATGAAAAAGAGGAGGTAAAGGACTGACTTGAACAGGACATGAAAGGACATGAAGGCTTTCTCAGCTAACTTGCAGCACCACAAGATTTTGTAAACAAGTTGCAACACAACCACAAAATACTGTTTTTTCCAAAGTAGGTTTGTCACATCACAGGAGATCACTTTGTAGTGCTGCATTTTCTCACAACCTTGTGGTAGGATAAACATATCTACACAAGGATGAAGGGCAAATATAGATATGTCTTTCTGTTTTCGGAGACTAAGTAAAACTTGTTGATAGTTTTCTTCTTGTCCCTTGTGAAATTTAGACTACACATGTAGCGCTGTCTCACCATTTGTCTTTCTCACATTCACCTGGCCATTCCGTTTTGTAAAATCTCTATTGACACTGCAATGTGCAGCTCAATTGCAGTGTTACAAATCATATACAGGGAAAATTAAATGTAATACATTACATAAGCTATGTGTAAACACAACAATCCCATAGGCTCAATGCCAGTGTAGTAGATTTGTTCTCCATATACAATGCTCATTTTTACATATTTATTCGTGATCTCACTCACTGTAAAATATATTTCACTGGCTTGTTTTACTTTCAACTCTCCTATCACACTTTATTAAATATTCTTATTCTTGCTTTGCCAACCCAAAGGCTGCCTGAAGCAAAACAATGGGCTTTGTGAGTGGGAGGTGATCTGGAGTGGAGAAAGGAAAAAAATACAAATAAAATGCAAAAATACCAGTCTTTGGGGTTTCATGAATTTCGAGTAAAGAACATGTACAGAAACACACTGCCAAATTCAGTGCTGTTGACTGAGATACCAGAGTTTCTTGAAGCAATCCATAAGTCTAAACAGATACCAGAAGCATTTAAAAATACTTTTATGGTAAAATTGTCCCTTCTATATATGAAGGCTTTGTCATTTGTTATTAAGTTGTAGAGTTTTGTTGTTGTTGTTGTTGATTTGTTTTTACATGATTCTATCGAGCAATTGAAAACCTTAAAAAAATTATTTGGAAAATGCTCAAAGGGGTTCGAAAGTGAAATGAAGGGCAAAGACCTTGTTTCAAACACATTAAGAAATATAAGGATAAGGGAATAGATTTCTTTCAAAGCATTTGAATTACCTCACTTATGATATCATCAGCGCACCAACGTGGAAATATTTTCTTGTGTTACTTCTGTTCTTTATTATTGCTCATAATGTATGTTTTGATTATGTCTTGGCTGTGGTACTTAACACTAGTCATCTCTACAAGATGATAATATGCCTATATGTAAGTAGAGTCACTATGGAAATATCATGAGGAAAAAAAAAAAAGCTGCTCTCATTTTATGTTAAGAAGTATTTATGAAAAGGCTTTTAAAGAATAAACATTTTTTTTTTTTTTAATATATGGTGAATCATTTGTAATAGCCTTACAGGCCAACCAACTACTCATAAAAATGACTATGTCATTTTGACTTATGTTCTTACAAGATATATTTACTTGCCTTTATTATATGTCCCTAATTCTCATTAATAAATAGTTCCTGTAGAAAACTTACTGATGTATTATCTAAATAAAATGTTACCAAATGTTACAACATTCTGAAATGAATATTTTTTTTCTTTTAACTACATAATCTGAATTAACTAAGTTCCCAAACTAACAGGAGAAAATGAAGAGATGAGCAATGCAAGAAACTGTGGTCAATCTTTTTAAATAAGGTGTCCTAATTTAGTAGCTAACTAAAATAAACCTCACCTCCTCCCTCATCTGGTAACCAAATCATCAGTTACTATCAGTTCAAAGTAAATATCTACTCAGCTAGTAAATATGATTTTGCTATAAGTAAATTATCATTTTGACAGATATTATTATAATACTACTAATTCTTCAGACAAGATATTATACTCACAACACCTAAACTCAGTTTGCTAGAGTAAGTTAACTTAAAGAATCAACCTCAGATCTTTTGTGCAGTAAAATCATACAGCATTGAAATCCTTAAAATTTTCAGTCATCAATGTCTACTTTCCAAAGGGAGACACCATGATAATATATAAAAGGTTATATGCACTTTATAAAAGCTACCTTGAAGCTGTATACTTGATGTACTTCCGGAAAAAAAAATAAAAAAAAAAAAAAAAAGAAAAAGAAAGAAAAAAAAAGTCATAAAGTAACATGTAACATATCTAGGGTAATTTTTTGCATAATAGATCCACAAATCACAAGTCACGTTCTTTTTACCACAATGATGGTTGTGTTACATTGAGCAAAATATGAAGAAAATAGTAAGAAAATAATGACATTTGAAATATATAGTGTTCTCCTCTCAGAAGCTGATCATGCAGGAGTTAACCGTCCCTGTAAGTGTATAAAATCTGTAATTGCTCATGTTAATGAAAGGAAATATTGATGCTATAATATGTTTATATTGTAAATTGGTTATTGTACCCTTTCAAAATATGACCAGTCCTGCTAACTCTTCATCAAGCTTTCCTAATCTGTTTCTACAAACAGAAGTAGTGAAAAAAACTTTTTAGTGTTACTTTTTCTTCATTCACACATGCATCTCTAATTCTGCACATATATATAAAGAAAAAAACAAAACAACAAAAAAGAAAAAACAACACATAGGTTATTTCATTAGCTAAAATTTTCTTAACACACTATCTCATTTACAGAACTCACGTGAAAAAATCCTAGTGGTCCTGATATATATGGCATTTTCATTCCCAGCAAGTACTTCACTTGTGAAGTCACCACATGTGTCGCTGCTCCTGTTGTCATTGCACTGATCACTGGTTCTGTTAACAAGAAGGTGGCACTGCCCAACTGCAGCATAAACATTGCTACCTGGAAAGCAAAGGTGTGTGCATTAGTAAGTGTAATAAGGTACAGTTTCCTGGTGATAGGGCAGTGAGAGTCCTTTTAATAAACTGTAAGACAATTGAGAATAGAACACACAAGTCCTTTGAAGGATTAACTGAACTTAAAACTGAACTCACTGCTTCATCTGCATTATCTCATTCACATCACTGGTTTACCAGATTCTACCTTTAGTTTAGTAATGTAAGCCTAACTCAGAGAAGCTGTCTTCATGTGACACTTATTATTCTCTCTTACTCAAATATGGGAGAAAAACAAATACTATAAAAACATCAGCTGAATAAGTGTGGTACTGACTCATTCCTGCTCCTCTGATAGTCATACTGAGTAGGCAAAGGGTTGTGGTCCACCTAACCAATGCCAACTTGTCGATAGCATGATTCCCAATGTCAGTAATGTCAATAGCTACCAAGTTTATTGGGTGCTAAAACTGCAGGGACATGAGGCTTACACTGAGACTTAGAGGGCTCTGCCCTGCCCCAGGACACTGTGCCACCAGTGTCCCTATCCCACACAGTCACACATCATCTTAGTTCCTCTGGCAGAATTTTAGCCACCTGATATCCTACTGACCCTGAGCATATTGTCTGATATATCATGATACTTGGTGCTCTCATGCTACAATATCAAATATTTCATGTATGACCAATCCATAGTTACATCAACTTCAAATGCAGAGGTTTCTGGTTTTGCAGCTATTCAGGTAAGAGAGATACAGAATTTGCTTTAGATGATGGAGGGTACAAAAATATTTTCTTCTTTACAGAAAACCAGAGAAGTTTATATGGTTTCATGTGCTGTTTCAACAAAATCTATACAATTATAGTAAAAGCAAGATATTTTAAAGATTTTAAAAATCTACTTCCTACATACTTGGGCAATACTTGAACTAACTTAAAATAGAATATCTGTATAAAATCAGAAATCTTAAAACAGGAAGGAAAATCAACATCTAATTTCATAAACACAATCCTATATTCAAACTAGATTTCTCCTCTAGGAAAAAAAAAAAAAAAAAAGTAGACTTTGGCTCAGTTATACATGTATTTGATCTTGAAGATAATTTCAGCTGCCCTGAAACTTTTACAGAAGTTATTTCAGAGTGCAGGGATAGGATCATAGAATTCCTCTCTAATCTGGGAATCTGTTTACAACTATTGTAGATTCTTCATACAAATATAGTGCAAAACCCCAAAGTATTAAGTGTCCTACTATATTATCTCCTTTTATCCCAGACTGCAATCACTTATTTTCTTTAAAGAATGAGATTTGACAGAGTTTATTTCTTTGACCAAGGTTGTTACTGACTTACAGATGCTACTGTGGTTTGCATAACATGCAATACTTTGCTGGATTACATTAAATTATATTTAAATTATCCCCCTTACAGTCAGTTCTGCAGCCTCATTAGATCAAAAAGTATTATTATTATTATTATTATTATTATTATTATTATTATTATTTACTTTTATATCCTTTTGCATTTGTTGTTCTGCATGAAAAGTTAAACGACTCTGCTCAGAATTGTTTATGACAATACTTTCCATGAGGATTATTTTGTGTTTACCATATTAAATAGTCACTTCAGAACACATCAGTCTCCTTTATATTTGTTTTTGTTGTAGTTTTGAGGTTAAAACAATCCTTTTCAAATGTTACTATTCCTTACACATGACCACCATGTGCTTTTTCACCATGAATCTCACCTGTATGCAGCGAGCTACAAGTATAAAAGCTCACCAATAAATAAATAAATAAATAAAATAATAAAACACACACAAAACAAAAACAGAGCGGTTTTTATTCAACATAAAAACCTCTAGTGAGCAATTTCCTAATTCCTTCAAGAGATGAAATATGAGGATAATTTTCTCTATTTCCAACTAATAGTAGAACTGCTCAGTACTACAAAAAATCAGAACATTGATTGCCATTCCAGATTGGACCCCAATAAAGATAATTACTGTTATACTCTCAGTGAGTAGTAATTTAGTTAGTCATGTCTGAAACCAATAATTACTAACTTCAAATATTTTGTTTATCTGTTTGTTCCAATAGTGTGCCTATTCAGATATTTAAAATATTGTTCGCAGTAGCAAAGTTCAATAAGGAATAAATTTTCCCTCCCCTAGTGAGTTTTTCTTTGTTTCCTAAGATCAGTTTGTATTGTACTGATGTGAAATTTCTAAACGTATTATATTTTATTTTCCAGAGGATGAGATGGATATTTATTTAATCAAAACCAAAACCACAGAGGCAGTTCAGTGAAATAACTAATATCACTGAGAAATATTAGATAATATTAATATTTCAGATAAAGTTATTATTACTACAGTGAATTACAGAGATTTATGATTACAGAAAATAAATTCTGCATCTCATACACATTTACTTTTTTTTTTTATTTTTAATTTTTCAGCATTTTGAGGCCATGTGACTCTACTTCACAGGTAGAAACTAAAAGGTTAGTCACATTTAAAGCATACTTCTTATTGTTTGTGTATAACTATGGGTTATATAAAATAAATACAAATCTGGCCTATGGTTTCAGATGGGCAATTTCTGTAGCCGCTCAATGAAACAACAAGCACCTGCCTATGCTGATCATCAGTCTCTTACTGTAGAAGGTAACTCAGGACTTCCAGAAAAAATGGCAACTCTTCATCAGCGTGTACATCCTGCTCTTTATTCACTTTATAGCTAAATTAATTAAGTGTGCATCCATGAAACAACCAGAAGAGAAAACATCTGAATAGAAGGGTGCAATTTTCAGCATAAGCTGGCATGTCAAATTCCTGTTGTCCTTGTAACATTAGTAATGTACAGAACAGCTTAGATGGAGAGGAGGCAAAACATTGTTTGGAAATCAACTTCCCCAAACCATCAACTTCCCAAAACCATTTTCATGTAAGTTTTCTTGTGATGTATATATTTTGTATTTTTAGCATTTATACAGGCATAGATCAAGTCTCAAGTTAACCTTCTCTGCTGGAGGACAGACACAGTCCTTAGCTTGGCTAACAGTGCTTTTTGGATAAACACCATGTGAGAGTAAGCTAATGTGACAGTGCACAATTACAGCACATTATGTTATGTCATAAAATCTTTCACCCACTGAGCAATAATCAAAATGCAGAGTTTAATATTTAGAGTAATCTACTAATTTAAAATTTATAGTAATCTACTTTATCTTCATTACTGTCATGATGCTAACTTTTGTGGGTTCCTAGTCTTTTCTGGTGTACTGTATGATTTTTGTTCCCTGTTGATGCACAAAAATTACAGAGAACAGTGACTGTGAAGCTTCAGAATAGCAAATAATAAAATACAAAATACTGCCAAAAGCAAATATGTTTCTCTTTTTGTTATTTGTACTAATAATGGGTTTTTCTTAAACTGTAAAAAGAATAAAATTTTCACATAGTTTAGGATTGTCTCCAGAATTTTTCCTTTTTCAAAATTTAGTTCCTAAGAGATGAGGGAGTAATTCAAAGAGAGAGTAATCTGAGTTTAAAAAAAAAAAAAAAAAAAAAAAAAAAAAGTTTCTTTCTACTTTCTTTCTGTGTCTTTTTCTAGTTTCTTTCTGTGTCTTTTTCATTAATCTTGAGATTAATTTTGTTTTCATTAGTATAAATTCTTGATAAAATTCATGCATATGAAATCAGAAGGAGCTGTCAGGGAAAGGGAAAATACCCAGGAGAGAGTGAGGGAAAGCAGTCTTGAGTTAATGCACACTACAGAAAAAATAAATAAATAAATAAATAAATAAAATCACAGAAAAAAAATATGAAACCAAGTGATTAAACAGAAGTGGTAGAGTAGTAGAAAAAGATGGGGATTTAGCAAGGAGAAGAGATATGAGTAATTGCAGAAAGCAAACTCCTCTATGTTCATTAATTCAAGCACTTTTGGTTCTTGTCCACTTTCAATACTTACTTCCCATGACAACAAGCTCAGTTTATTATTGTTAAAATTCCACTCTCATTGTGTAGTCAATTTAACTTTATGGCCAGTAAGAATTTTTCACGCATAACAGGCTCCTTGGAAATCACTAATCTCAAACTTTCTGTCCAAAGTAATGGAGTCTGATAATGTGCTACCTGTTAAAAGAATTCAGTTTTGGAGAACATTTTAAAACCCTCCAAACTCCATGTTCTGGAAGGAGATGATTCTTTTTTGAACATTACACAGAACTAGAAGTGGTGGTACTCTTTTGAATCATTTGCTGCCTGGGCTAAGAAGATGAGTTCAAGCACAGGGAATATCTCTTGTAAGGAAACAGTACAGACTGTGAAACTTTCATTTGGTATTTTCTGTAGATTATCTCAAAATCAAAGGTTGCAAAAGTGAAGATATCTTGGGAACTTCTGGAGACCAATATGACACAGACAGTTCAGCTTCACTGAGTCACCAGTTTAAAGTTCTTTTTGGCCTGTTAAAATAGACATAATTGGTGTCTTTTGTTCTTTTGATTTATAATCATCGAATGGTTCAGGTTGGAAGGGACCTTAAAGCCCACCCAGTTCCAACCCCCTGTCATGGGCAGGGACACCTCCCACCAGACCAGATCCAGCCTGGCCTTGAACACCTCCAGGGATGGGGCACTGGCAGAGGCTGCCAGCTTCTCTGGGTACTGGCAGAGGCTGCTTCACCAACCTTTGAGTAAAGAATTTCTTCCTAGAACTACTGCTCTTAAGTTCATTATAGTTGAGTTTAAAGTATTTTGTAGCTTCTGGTAGTGTGTGGAATGAGCTTTCCTCACTCCAAGACCTGAAGACTTCCTTCTGTGGTCTAGACTAACACATAGCATGCTGTGCTGTGTTGTCATTGTGGGAACCAGAACTCCCATCCATCCTAGCCGTCCTTTCTAAGATGCAGAATATCAGCCTGCAGAAAGTCATTAACCAAATCTTTCCATTGTAAAAGGAAAATGAGCTCTTTTCCTGATTACCACTGTATAATAAAGATTTATGTTTGGTTTCAGAATGAACTACGTATTACATAGAATAGTGCAACATAGTTTTCTCCACAGGGAAGCAAAGTATTGGATAAGAATATTAGCTTTTCAAAAACATGCTTCATGTTCAAAGGTGCTCCTTCTTTATTAAACAAACTTATAGCAGGTCACATGAATATGTTTTCTGGATAAGCAGAAACATTTTTTTCTTTCCAATACTGCTCATCAGCAACCAATTATAAAAGTTGTTTTTAATGCTTTTTAGATATAGTAGCTGAAAAATAGTGTCAAAACATTTTTCTGGCCAAGTAATTTCAAGTCTTTACATACTCTTTCTAAGAAGGAACATGATGTTTTGGAGAGGGACAGTTCATCCTTTGTGTGGAAAATGTCCATAGTATGGAATAGTCACAGCATCAGCCATTTATTGTAGTTTCCCTAATGTAATGTAATTATGTAATTATGTCCCCCCATGTAATTAGGGACTGGTTAGAACACTGTGTTTCAATGTAAAAAACCAGCTTTATGAGAAGACAACAAAATGAAGGTTTGCTCCTTTCCCAGATAAGTACCATCCCAACAACAGTGACGATTCCACTTCTTTTGCAGTTCAGGATGTCCTCAGTGGAAATCTATTGCTCCAAAACATGTCATATTAATCTTCTCATACCAGAATACAACACCTATTCCATATGATTCATTAATTTTTTATTTACTCTGATCAGAAGATGACACAGGTCATTGATGGAGCTCTCCACTACCAGCAAGATTCACCTTGTCTCCTTATCTGATAACTGCAGCAACTGCTAGCCAGGAGACTGGAATCAAAATGAGAAATGAGTATTCTCACAATTCACAGCACCTAAGATGATGGCAAAATTTAATCACAGTTTTTATCTGGACTTCCACCTGAATGTCTGTGATGAGCAGCCTCTAGGCAGTCCTCTGGGATATGGGAAATGCATATTTTAATCTGTTCTCTGTGTCCCAGGTAAATGCTCTCACCATTACACTTGCATGAAGCACTAGTGGCAGCACAGCAAGCACCAACTCTATTAGTAGGGCTGTAATAAAAACAACCTTACTGATCTGGGAGAATTGCCCACACACTTGGCACAGCTCCCTCCCAGACTCACTCTGAAGACTCGAGCAAAGGATTTTCCAGTTCTTCTCATTCCAGTCAGGCTTAAATAGGATAGAGGCTAAGATAAGTCAGCTGGGGCAGTTTAAAGCATATGAATAAAGAAGAACTTTTCAAAATGAAAGAGGAAGAGGTCTAGAGGATTTACACACCTAATGGGATTCTGCAGCAGCTAAGTAAAATTTTTCTGCATTGGATTTTAAACTTAGATCAAATGCAGGCAACTTCCCACTTTAGGCATTTTGGCATTTTATCACACAAGTGGGGATGACATAAGAGACTGATATTCTCTGAGCACAGCAGTACCAATGTGTATGCTCAAAGGACTTTTAGCTGTTACAAGCACTCTACACACAATGCAGTGGTGTGTTACACTCATTGGTGCACATACAGAAGCCAGGCACAATCACAGAGTGGTTCACAGTGAATCACAGAATGGTTGAGGTTGGAAGGGACCTCTGAATGTCACCTGGTCCAAACCTTCTGCTCAAACAGAGCCACCTAGAGCTGTTTGCCCAGGACCATGCCCACACAGCTGTTAAAGATTTCCAAGGAGGGAGACTACACAGCCTCTCTAGGAAAGGTGTGATGTTATCTGCACCAGGTCTACTCTACATGTTGTCTCTGGGGGTTCCCTCATATGGTAAACTCAAGTTATAAGTCTGTATCCAATAAAAGAAAACAAAACCACCACCAACAAACATAAAAAATAAATAAATATATATATATTTTTTTTTAAAAAAAAAAGCAGGAATGGCCACACTTCTTGATACTCCCTACCAACTAGCATATGCCTATGCCTCAGTTCCTTCCAAGTTCCAAGCCACTGGAGATGCCAATGTGGGCTCCTTAGCTCATCCTTTGCATGGTAGAGGGAACCAAAGAACCAAGTGTATGGATCTGGATTTCTTCCAGGAAGTGAGGTACCAGGAGGTGTTGCATGTCAAGTGCTGGAACATTTCGTCCATTTTAATATTTACAAGGAAAGATGGAAGCCTTCTTTGAAGACCTAAGAAACTGGCAATGGATAAAGGAATTCAGTGCTTGTGGTGATAATAGGAAAAGAGAAAAAATTTAAAAGACCTCTGATCATTTGAATAAGCTTTGGAGAATCATTTGAAGACATCTGTTTTACTAATTTATTTTGCTTTAATAACGGGTGTATGAACTCTAAAGAGAATTTAAAGATGTTTCCCCTACTGTTTTTAATTATTGAATATTGTATAGTATTTCTCTTCAGGCCAAAAGCAATAGAAAACCTCAGGAATATGTCAGTGCTTACCAGAGAGCTGATTCATGTTTTGTTTCTGAAGGAGAAGGAAAGGGAACACCAACAGCAACTGAATGTTATATTAGAGCTGATGGAATGTGGTTTTACTTCACATTACAACACCCTAGGAGCATGTATACAAATAATTACTGCATCTCAAACAGCAAATTCTTAAAGCACATTCATGAACGTTAGACCAGACCCATGATCAGTTTTTCTTGGAGAAGTGAAAAAAGTATATTACAAAAGTCAGAGTTGTCACAAATGCCAAACATCAGCAGCATACAGAATGTATGTTCACCATTTACCTGAATGATTCCTCCCAGAAATGAAACTGCAGCTGCAACTCCAATCCTCTGCATTTCAAATTCTGATAGGCCCAAGACTCCTGAATTATTGTTTGCAGTGAAATTAGTGCCAGCTGAGGGAACAAGACGTTCAACTGCATTGGCAGATATTAAGGAAGTCAAAGCAAACGTTCCTAAAAAAAATAAAAATACAATAAAAATAATAAAAAAAAAGTTACCAATGATTGTATATGTGTGCTCATCACTAATGATCACTTTTTCAAAACTTGGCCATTTTGAGTGAGTGTCATTTTGTGCAATCCTAACAATAATTTCTAAGATAATATTTTCACATATTACAAATTTCTTCATGTAAAATACCATTTAGATATCTAAATTAAATGCAAACTTTTCATGAGAATATTTATGTAGACATATTAATAAAAGAGGTTGAAACATAATTATTCACAATTATTTGAAGGTACCACAGATGCTTTTGACTTACATTGTGTGTGATGAAATATTTTTTGTCTAAAGGTCCCAAATGTTCACTATTCAAATTTCCAGGGTAATTAAATCATACTATATACCTAATTATTAGCCCAATATAGTTAGCAGATGTGTATGTTTAAAAATAAAAATAAAAATCGAGAAATAATCTGCACTGGAAGCAGATTAGGAAAGAAAACAAAACAAAAAAACCCACAACTTTTCTTAGAGAGGTAAAGCAAGTTTAACAAAACATAGATAAAGAAGGATGATAATCCAATATTTTAAAGGACAAATATATCACATGGAGCTCCAATAGCACAGGAAATGCCCAGCTATATCAGTGCCCCTCAATGGCCCATCTGGCCCAGTCCTCCAACTCCAGCTGTGGAAATCAGAGGTATTACTCAAGGAAAGTACACAAGCCTGGCCACTTTCTGCAGTCTATTCCCCTCATAAACCACAGCATCCATAGCTGTTGTATTGAGGTACATCCTTATTTGGTCATTTTAGATTTTCCTTATGGACTACCATTCATGAATTTGTTGAATCTTCTGTTTGAACCTGCTTGTATTTTCTTCCTCCACAATGTCCTCTGGGAGCAGGTTCCAGAGGCTCAACATCTGCCATAGTATTCTCTTTATTCTATACTTTCTTTTAAAGTGATCTCACCAGTTTCATTGAGCTCTCATTATTCTTATTCTTCCCTATTTGTACAGAACCTGGTGAGTACAGTTCTACCATCACCTTGGCCTCGATATAGTAAAACTCCCATCACAAGTTCTTTGGGACCCTACTAGGACTCCTCCACCCTGAAAAATTACCATTGAGTCTTATCTTTGTCTTCTTATCTTCAAACCAGCTAATAATTAATAAAATAACTTTTCTTCTATCACAAGGGCAATTTAGTTTCTTTAATAACCTTTGGTGTGCAACCTTATCAGCAGCTGTTTGACCATTCTGATATCTTACATTCAAAGTATTTCTTTTTGTTATGTGCTTACTAACTCTCCTATAGAACTCTAGGAGGTTAGTGAGATGGGATTTTCCTACGTAGAAGTCACATTAACACCTTTCCAGCAAACTCTGATCATACGTAACTTTCAGTGATCTTATTTTTTACCGTAGTCTGTAATAATAGGGGAGAAATACAGTTTCCAGGATTCCCTCCAGAGCCCTTCTGGCAGTTCAATGGTCTTGTGACCTTATTATAGAATGTCCCATTTATATCTTTGTCAGAAAGGTGTCACAACAGTTTCCTTCCTGTCTTCCTCACTTTGATGTATTTAAAGATCTTTTAACTACCAGTTTGATCATCTTATCCACAGCAGTCTTCAAATTCATTTTTTTAGCCTTCCTGATTCCTGTGTACATCTGACCTACTATATTGCATGGCCTTCCTATCACAGATAAAGATGCTAACAGAAGATCCTTCAAAATCACTTCTATCAAGAGCAGACAAGAAAAAACATGTAGGGATTTGTTATTTAGGTAAATAATCTTTCAAATTAGATCAACAATGTCATAGAAGTGATATTTCAAGTAAAAGTTGACAGAACATGGCCATTGATGAAATTTCCTATTTCCTGCTAACATAAGTGATTTAACTAACAAAGGACATTCTTGCAGCCTGTGCACATATAGAGAGCCCCATTGATATTGTAGAAGCTGCTGTTAGGAGAGGAGATTTTCAGCTATGTACAAGAGCAATTACAGAGCATTTGGAGTTCTGAGAGAGGCAGTATTGCTCCAATTCAGCCTGCTTGCCACAATTACTTAACTGTGGCTGATGGGATAAGTACATGAGACATTTCTACTGAAAGGTTCAACAACATATATCACACAAGTTTATTTATAATAATAATAATAATAATAAATTTGTCTGGAAGACATCTGAAAAGGTTTCCAGGTTTCCACAAAAGGGACTGTGCAGGAATTCTCAGCCATAGAACTGAGGAACTCTCAGCAAATCACTTTTTGAATGCTATTCCGTCCCAAGGATAAAAGATCAGCCTTATCTGCTTGCACTTACTTGTTGCCTCATCTGTTTTCATTAGTAGAATTTAGGTCAACCAGATACTGTTTTTTCCACTTTCCTACATATGATCATATGAGACTTTCTTATCTTCCTAATAACTTCACAATAACAAACAGCTGACAATCCATTGCCAAATTATTGTTTTTTAACAACTTTTCATTATAGATTCATGTTTTAATATATTAAAAAAAAAAAGTATACTAGTATACTAGTATAAAAAGTATACTAGTCTATCTCTACTCAAGTAGCAAAATTATTTTCCAAATTCTAAATTTTCACTTTAAAAAATATTTCTTAAATCAGCAGAGTGCATTCCAACATTCATTATAGCTTCAAGTTGATATTGGCATCCACAGCTCTTTCTCAGACATCAGAAGGCTCAAAAACTTTCTGCACATTTAGGGAAAACAAACTTCTGGCTTTCCTCCTCCTCTAAAATATTGTTTAGCTGTTCAGAAATTTTAAATAATTTAACTGAATATTAGAATGCCTGGCATAAGAATTACTAGTCAGCCAAATTTAACATTGATGGCTTTTCCCCTAAAAGGTAAACAGAATTTACCAAATTATTTCTTTGTCCATGTTGCAAAACCTAAAGACACTGATATAATTCAGATGCACTTTGTCTTGTATTGTATATAGAGATATACAGATAGAGATATTTCTAATGGGTTTTAAAAAAGAGCTTTATTAATGATTTCAGATCCAGTCACTGGTCCCACAAGCATACATTAGTTGGAGCAATACGGGATGCCATATAACATGGAGTGCACGCTGCTTGTCCAGGACTAGGACTTTCAGGACTAGACTTATATGAAGCTCTGCTGATGTCAGGAGTCTGGTACTTCTGGGCTACCACTTCCTCATGCTTGTCCCTGTTGAACTAGGTGAAACCTCATTTAAGGAAGAGGTGGATCTCCTGGTGTCTGGGTAATTCAACATTGTGTAAACTGGAAAAAAAGAAATAGTCATAAAAAGAAGAAATATATATATATTTCTGTTTAGTCTTTAAATAATTTTCCTTCCATTGATCTCATGACACACTTTTATTTCAATTGTCAGTTCCTTATTTCAGAAAATGTTTTAGCAAATAGACACTTACCTGTCGCAACATGACGACCCATTCCAAATATGGCATAAATAATGGCAGGGAAGAAAGAGCCGTATAAACCAAAAACTGGATGGACTGAAGATAGAACAGCAAAGGCCAGCCCTATGGAGAGTTAAATGAAATTACTTCTTTGCATGAAGGTAAAATAAAAACTGTTCTGCTTTTTTTTTTTTTTAAATGAGGAAATGTCTATGATTTTATTAAGAGCAGGAAAAGAAACACCTTCATTTACAAAAATCTAGACCATAAGCCGTTGCAAAGAGAGCTTTACAACAAGGATCAGGAAGAAATGAGAAAGGTTTTTCATCTATTGTCTGTCATCAAAGTTTTCACACTTTCTTTTGCATCGTCATCACTAACAGAAACAAATAGGTCACGGATATGATTTATGGCCTCAGCTACTGTTTTTCCAGGTTGTCTCGATAAGGTTTCCAAACTCTTTTAATAGAAAACTCTCACAGGAGGAGGCAGTACCATTCCACCCCCTATTCCAACAAACAAGGGTTTGAAACTGCCAGGGCTCCAGGCAGTCAGATGGTTATTTCTTACAAGCAGTTCAAAACCTATAATTTTGGTTTGGATGGAGCCCTTTCAGTCTGCTTTCTTCAATTTTTTTTTTTTTAACAACAAAAAAATATTCCAGAGTTCATTGTTTTCAGGTGCCTGTTTTTTTTTTAATCCTTCAGATATTAACTTTTTTTTTCCCATCATGTAAAGCTGTGGGTCCAGAAACACAGAAAATATTTGATTTTTATATTGAAATAGAAAATGAACTGAATTGGTTAGGATTTAACTTTACAGGTTACTAGTTACCTTCATTGCTTGGCTATAGAGGACAATGTCCATCTTTCTCTTAGAAAGTCTCCCAATATGCCTCTTTTAACAGAGATATATCTGCAGAGCAGCAGCTGTGGTTGCTGTTCAGTTTCAGATACCCAAGACAGAAAACAAGTCTACATTGGCTTCTTACAAGGCAGCAGAGGGACTCCTCAGACTATGCTTCAGAGCAACAGCCTATACTGTCATTTCACTGTTTTTCCTTCTAGAAACTAAGATTAGGTGAAATTGCTTGGCAGAGATCCTCTGTAAATCTTGTTGGATACCACATCTTGCAGTAGGGACACAAGACTGGCTTGTGCAACACACAAGGTGCCTTTCTGAAGTCCACCTTCAATGTGAGAGTCCAGTCTAAGCTTTCGTATAGATATGTGTGTGTGTGTTCTGGGAGAGAGACCGTGCATAGTCTGGGACAGAGAGGTGGTTCACATCTATGAATCAAAGGAGTTGTTAGTTCTTTCATATGCTCTCTGTCTTGCATTAAGTGTTTGGTCTCCATCAGTGATTACAAGGGAAGCACATAAACTCCTTCTTCATTAGGAAAAAGGAACAATTTTGAAAAAGAAGTTTTAAAATAATGTCCATTTTTGCAGAAAGCAGATTAAAGTCTTATAATATCTAACATTAGAATTTAATTGTTAGAATTTTGGACCTAGAAGCTTTCCTTCTAAAAGGAACTGAAGAGTTTTCCTCATAAAAGGAAATGGCTCATATTTAATAAGTTTTCACCCTAAGAAACTTTATAATTCAGTTCAAGAGGAGGTTACCTTAGAAGTTGTACAAAACAAAACTAGAGGTTACAGTAATATACCACAAGCTAAGCTAAAATTCTTCCAGAAGAGGGACCACTAGCTTTTTCCTATTTGATATTTCCAATTAATGCAGGATTAAGAACAGCATACATTGTTCTTCCTCACAGTATTTAAAAGGAAAACAAAGATTCAGCTACCACAAAGTATTCTGTTGTCATCTGACTGTAAAAGCCAATTATGGCCTCTCTACATGTGCTTAACATTTTTATATGTTTCCTAGGATGTTATGACAATTGAAACTTTTGACAATTATGGCCAGAATGCATTTGATCCAGCATAAGCTGTACAAGCTGTGTGTAGAGCACAAGAAGCAACACAAAAACTGCATCAACTTCTCATTTCAGCTCTCTGAACAGGGCACAGAAGAATTGAGAGGCACAACCTGAACTCTTACAGACAAGTTTTGTAAAACTGTCAAAGGGGCTACCCAGACCAGCAAACCCGCAGGATCCATGACGGAATTTTGCTTTGCTCACAGACTTACTGCTGAGAAATACATCTCATCTATAGGCAGATAATCTGAACATAAATCTGGCCCTTGTTTTTGTCTTTTCACTTGTGGACCTTTCACAGTCTTCTTGTATTAAGTTTCTAGAAGTGGTGGCTCATTCTTTTCATGGTGAGGTCATGGCAGTTAAGACAGAGCTAAAATTACCAGTCTTTGTTTCCAGTCCTGACTCTGTTGGGTTTTTGTTCCTGTTACTGAAATGTGTCAATTGTGTGTAAGAGCAGAGGGGCATTATAAAACAGAATTAGTAAAGACTTCAGGCTTTCTGGTAAGACATATAATGTTCTAAAAGTTCAAATACATTTTAAAGATATAAGCAGTAGTATATTTCAGCTCACTTCATTAATTTTCATATTAAACTTCGCTACAATGCATTCCATATGCTCAAGAACTAGTCAAAAGACAAGAAACATTATTTTAATTTTTTTCATTCCAAACAGTAATAATACTCAGAAGAAATATATCATAAAACAAGGATCCCATGTAATCTTCAGTGGTAATGTGGAGAAGCCTCAATGGCAGTGACATTAAGGTTCTCATATAAGAATATAAATTCCATGGAAAGAAATGCAAACAACAATAAGTTCAAATACAGTACATTAATATTGTGGTTCTTTGCTTTAACTAACTCCTTATCATAAGATAACATTGTGCAACACAGTTTCATTGAAAACCACGCTCTTTGGCTAGCACCAGATGCATAACAATCACAGCTTGCCACACTGAAAAGCAAGAGATGTGGCACCACTCTTGGTAGCTGTCAAATGCAGATAACTATCAAATAACAAGCTTGATACAAATAGAAATAAGGCCTACCACAGGATAAAGGTCTGTCAGTTTGCTAATTTGATAGTTTCTCCTAATTAGGCTAGAGCCAAAACCACGGTCACAGCAATAAAAAAATATTTTCCATAAAAAGAACTATGAATCATCATGGTATGATGAAGTAATTAACAATTCTCTGCATTTGGAAAAAAGCTGGTGACACATATGTATGTTCAGAGGATATCTATACCATTTCTTTTAGAAATGTGGTATGCAAACCAGAAGCAGAAAAAATAGCAAGTCTACAATTAATCTGAAGAGTTTCAAAATTTTCTTCATTTACTATTTACTGTGAAAAACTATACATTTGCTACATACTGTAGCATATATTACTATATAAGTAAAAATTATTATTGTAACTTTTCTTTTCTTGAAGGAGACTATATTAAGATAGCCAAACATCAAGTTTACGGAACCCCAAACAACACTAATACATCTTATCCATCTCAAAACACTATCTGTAGTCATGAAAAATCTCTGATGCTTCAGAAAAAGTCAATTTCTCTCCTTCACAATGCTGAATTATGTAATAAGAAAAGCATTTCCTCTAGATGTCCTGAAATGTAGAATTAACACATTTAATGAGTCTCCTATCAATCCCTCTTGGAAAACCAACAAATTAAACAGCCAATGATTCATATCTAAGGCTTTAATTTCTAACTCCAGGCTAACAATTTTTACTGAGTTAACAAAAAATATGTATATTTCATAACAATTTCTTAACACAAATCTACATCCCTGGAAGATTATTTGGCACTGGCTTGTTAAGAGCTATTAACACAAAAATTGATCCTTTGTAAATAATATAATTTTCCTTCAAAAATTGGAAAGCTTGGTATCAGTTCTTTGATGGTGCACACATACAGCTCATGCTTGCAAGATCCCTGTTTCCTAATGGCATAATTTGCTGGGGCTACACACATGGATTTTACCTTCTGCCTAACTTATTTGAAGAGAAGGTACAAAGAGCATTTCTCAATCTGCCATTCAGAGCCTAAGGAAAATGGAGAATTTCACAGCAAAATGGGAGGATAGATTCTGCAAAATTTACCATAAATCTTTCAGAGTCCACACAAGTGTTAGCAACCATTCTCTCCTTTTTCAGGGATGCTTCAGCGCAGCACCTTCCCAAGCAACTGTCACCTTCAGTCCACAGAGTGGACTGAAGAGACCACAGAGAGACTCTGTGAACCACAGAGAGAGACTGGAGTATCTCAACTGTATTAGTCATACAGTATCTGAACTGCATCTTTCCCCCATGTGCCATCTGAGAATTACGTCAAAAATATTTTTGGGAAAACACTGTTCTACTTCTCCACTTTGCAGATTTCCAGATACTGACAGTTGTATCTTTTACGTTCAAAAGAAAGGATAATCAAGTATTTCAGTAGTAGAAACAAGTGGACTGTGTGACTCATTTACGAATTCTCTAATCAAGATATCTTGACCTTTCTGTACATAAAATTTTACATACTTATACCCAAAAACAGATAGAAAAAAATCTAGCATTTTCTTTTATTTTCATGAAAATCCAGGAAAGAAAGAAAAAAAAAGTATTATTGACAAACAAACAGAGATTAAAGATTTAGACCAATTACTATAATACACTGGTCAGCCATAACACGTGAAGAACCTGGCCATCTCCAAAATAAAATGAAATAAGTATTTTGAAAAGGGATTACAGGAGAACTCCTCTACACCTCAGTAAGAATAACCAGAGAACTAAACTATGAGGTAGCGTCTTAAGTAGCATCAACACTGTAGAGAAATAAAGACCAGTTGTTGACTGATAAAAGGCCTTAACCCAAGATGAACCCAACTTCATGAGACCTATGAAGAAAACCATCTATTTTGACAAAATGATGGTCAAGGATCTTAGCACTAACAGTCTTCTTGATCTATCTGACCTAGAAGTTTATAGTTGAAGTCATTTTTTTCTTCAGGGAGTCAACACTCCCTGGGTTTGTCAGTCTCTGTCCATGGTGCTCAGGTATGTCCCAGGCGCAGGGATGGGACATTGCACAGCTTGTCTAGTCATACTAACACGTATACCTGTACTCTGGCTCCAGAGGATTCAGAGGTCTGAGAAGCTGAATTCACATTTCTAGTAGTCTGTCAGA